GCGTAGCACACGCCTGGGGGGGTGGCTGGTTATTGGTATGTTAGCATCTTTCAAACTTGGGTCGCTTTCATACCAACCTTTACGGTTATAGCCAAGTTCTCGTTCCAGCCGTGCTGTTGACTGGATGTTTTCTTTCAATTGACGTACTTAAAAGAAAAACAATTTAAAAAGCACTGAAGTAGGCGCTACTTACATTAGCGACGCCCTTACTCGTGCCCGCCGCATCCTGGGATTACTTTTATTCCTAATAAACTAAAATAATAAGTTGCAAATCAGGAGGTTTAATTGTGTACCATGCGTGGGATGCACATCACTATTAATTATCACAAAAGTCATGAGGGTCTGGTGTTAACTCCTGTGGGCCTGGGACTTGATGGCAATTCGGTTCAACAATGTTTCCTGAGTACCGGCTGTATGCCAGGCACTGTGCTAGGCACTTGTGAAGATACCGGCCTAAAAATGAGTAAGAAGATTCTGGCTCTGAAGGAGCTCAATATCTTAAGAGAAAAAGGCGTTAAATAATTAAAAATACAGAGAATACATGTTGTAGTCCAAGTTTTAAGTTTTATTAGAGTAGCTTAGAGAGGTAGGAAATGCAGAGACCAAGTGCCCAAATACCTATGGCTTTCAAGAGTTATCACAAGGCTGGGATTGTGGCTCAGCAGTAGAGCGCTCGCCTCGCGTGTGCGAGACCCTGGGTTCGATCCTCAGCACCACATAAAAACAAATAAGTGAAATGAAGGTATTGTGTCCAGTTACAACTAAAAAATAAGTATAAAAAATTTTAAAAAATTACCACAAAACAGGACAGAGTGCACGTGTGTCAAGTCTTTAAAGATGTATAATTAAGTTGATTGTTAGAGAACAGTTTGCGACCACATAAACAGCATTTATGCTCTTAAAATGAAAAATAACATAAAAGTCAATATTATTGACAGTATTTTGAGAAATGTACTTATAATGAATTCCAGAGGCAAGGATAGAAATCCTCTGAATCCTAACATTTTTTTTTTAACTTACTAGAGTAAGAAGATGGTATTTAGGCTCCAGTGGTTTTTTTGAGAGCTTGAGAGCAACATATCAAAGATAATCTTAGCACTACTTTGGAGATACTTTGGATGATAGGTTAAATTGATGCTGTTGGGCTTGAAGTGCTGTTGAGTGAATTCCTAGTACATGATCTTTACCCTCTTTAATTTCCCCCAAGGAGAAGAATGCTTATAAAAGAAAAAAGAATGTAAAAATAAATTGTCCACCCACTGATGTGCAAGGCAAGTAGTTTTGTAAGGTTGTGATAGGCTTGTTTTCTTAGCTTTACAAGTATTTGGGAAAAATCTACCTTAGTATAAAAACCTGTTCAGAAACATGTTTTTTTTTCTCCAAATCCAAGTTGGAGGAGAGATTTGCTTCAATTGCAGTCTAATATGTGTTCCATCTATGATTAAGTATTATGTTTGCTGTGGATTTTATTTTTCTATGGAGTTTGGTGCCAGAGAGCTACTCTGAATTCTAGTTTGATGGTTGATTACTCTCTTAGTTGGACTGTGGACATTTTGGGAGCGTTTGTGGCGTTTTGGGAGCTGAGGTTGCATTTTCTTGTTAAGTATTTAGAATACCATTCATGGTTGTTTAGGGGGAAAGTATTGAGGTATTGATGCTCATAGCTAAACCATGCGTGCTTTTCCTTTCATCCTTCACAGATATAGAAGTCAGATTTTAAATAGTAGATGTTATCTTCCCTTGAGGAATTAAGTTTAGATTTTGTGTACTATAGCTGAACAAAAAGTGGTGCCTCAAGGAGTGTATTTATTTCTTTTAGATACCCCATGTTTTCCCATCACCCGAAGAGTCTGGGCAGAGACTGGACTACACCGTGGGAGAATCTGCAAAGATGTTGCTGGAACAGACATATTTCTAGTTGTATGAGGTGGCCTGGACATTATTCTCGTGCTCCTTACCCATACTTCAGTAGTAGGCATTTTTCACTAAATTGGAGACCACCTTGTTTATTTGAGTCTAGAACTCAGTTTCAGTACAGTAACTGGAGACCTGACAACCTGAGCCAGACCTCTTTGATTCATCTCTCTAGTTACATCATGAACTCTGAGGGAGATGAGCCTTCATCAAAACGAAGAAAACACCAAGGTAAAGGTGACATTTATCTTGGTGAAGGAATAGATATAAATTATTATAGACTAAGTTGACACTTTCATTTGTAATATTTAAAACTCCTATAGATTTTAGAGATGTTTGGTGTTTATTTTTAGTCAGTAATTTTCTATTAGGAAAAAAATAAATCTTTTTACAATGAAGTTTTTTTTTTCTTTTCAATTACTTGTGTATTTCTGGCTGAAAAAAAAATAGAAGAAATTTCAGACAAAATATAGTTGGAAAAGAGTAGAGAAATAGATTAAAACACTAAGTTTAATTTAAGAATAATTTTCACATCCAGTGTTTTTGCAACAGAAGGCCTTTCAGGAATTAGAAATTGGTGGGTGTATTCTTGGAAGTCACAGATATTAAAAACAAAAATTTAGTTTTCATTTTTAACACTAGCTTTTAAATATAAAAAGATTATATTTAAGAAGAAATAATTGAAAGTGAAGTTGGCCTGGTGGTATATACTGTAATATCTGCTACTCTGGAAACTGAGGCAAGTGGATCACAACTTTGAGACCAGCCTGGTCGATTTAGCAAGACCCTATCTCCAGTTGAAAAATCAAAAGGTCTGGGGATGTAGCTCAGTAGTAGAACTTCCCTGGGTTCAGTCCCTAGTATGGGGGAAAGGGGGGAAGGAAACAATTGTAAGTGAAAGACAGTTTCTTACAGAATGAGGTTTTAGTTTATTAAATCTGTACTTCTCAAACAGATCTATAAAATTGAGTCAGTCAGAAATATCTTTTAGAAAGGGATTTTATCTTATGCAACTCTGAGGAAACATTTTTTTCAAATACGTTGATTAGGTCTATTTTTCTCATATATTTTTTTTCTTCTGAACAATTCACTAGGCTCCCTCTTTGTCACCAGCCCTACACATACCCTAACCCTACTCCAGCCTCCTGAAAATATAAAGGAAGTGTCAAGTAGAATTTGGAATTGTCTTTCTTATTGAACCATAGTTTTCAGTGAAGATAATTCCTTTGAAGATATTTGAACATGGCCTGTGTGGGTGTTAACATGGAAGGAGATGACATACAAGTTTTTCAGAGGAAGACATTGAGTGAGTCTTGCCCAGAAATCGGGGTTAGAAGAATTGATTAGTTAGTACTCTTTGAGTTCTCTCTGCCCTTATTACACAAAAGCAGAATACAGGCTTAAGCTGGATTCTAGGTCCAGCTAATATCCAAGCAAATGTATAATTTGTTATCATAGAGTTGCAAAGAACCTACTTGTGGGGGGGCGAGAAAGAGATATTTATTTGAATGAATGAAGGCATATTTAAAGGCATTAGAATCAGGTTCCTAAGAATGGATCATTATCTAAGTCCAGGTCTGTATGATGACCTTGAATTGCTTTTCATTTATTTATTTGTTGTTTATCAGGTTAGCATACACTTCTCTGCTGTTTATCCTCTTATAAATTTGGTGAGCTCTCAGAGCAGTGGCATAGTGACATCTGACATTAGCATGGACTTAGATACCACTCCCTGCCCTCATTTCTACTCTACCACTGATTGTGTGAACGTGGAGAGATTACTGAAACTCCTTGCTCCTTAGATTCCTAGTGTAAGGTAATGCTTACCTTGCAAGTCTGTTGTGGAAGAAATGAGGCATGTCAAAGTGCCTACCACACTGTTGGCTACATTGTAGGTACTCAGAAAACTGTGGTGGTGTTTTCCCTTTAATGGATGGGGAATTACATTTACATACTGATAATCTTTGATTGCAACCTGACTCTCTATATGTCCATTCTTCCTAGGTATTGTGAATAAGGAAAAGGCTCTTCGTTAAGCCATATTTGTGACTTCCGATATTTCACTAATACTTTTCAATCAAGAGAACAGCATTGCTAACTTGCCTATCACTTTAAAGTGGTATTTGAAGGATTTGTGTGATACAATTATGATATTTTAATTAGGCAGCTCAAAAACCTGATCAGGCCTATTGCTTACTTTCTTTGATTCATCTTCTCTGCTGTGATCATCTTGTTCCTCCTGACATGGAAGGTATATAAGCTTTTGCAGTGTGAATTTATGTTGTGAAGTATATGAAGGTCGAAGACTATCCACTCTGTCAGTGGTTTTCAAATTGTCTTCCATGGAACCCCAGCACTTGAAACACATTTATGTATTTTTATTAAAATCAAATAAAATGTGTGTTTACTCTATCATCACATTCCCAGTCCCATTATGCCAGAGATTGGTGTTCTATGACAAAAAATAATGACAGAAGGTTCTACAAAGTTTGAAAGCCACTGTATTAATCAGATAATTGGATGGTCCTGGTTATTTAAAAGTAAAATCGAAAAAAAAAGTTGATTTACAAACTGATTACCAGGACTATAAAAATCTTAAAGCATTTATATGCCATTATGTGCATATATTTTATAAGGAACTGCAAACACATTTTTTAGACCCTCATCTTTCATATTTTCATATGGCAGTGACCAAGATAGTGCTTTATTTATGACGATAGCTTACATTTTGTTTGCATGACTAGACCCTTTCCATCTCATATACATTTGTATACATTTGAAGACTGATTGGTGGCTAAAACCATCATAGACTAACCCCAGTTTATGAATAGTGTTCTGTAAATCTCTAAGTAGCTCTGTGGAGGTAGTATAATTAGCCCTAGTACTGAGCCCTTTGGGGTAGGTTTCTGCATGTTTGGTGAAGGATAGAGAAAGGAATAATTTTCTTCCCTTTTCTGTGCATAGGACAAGCTCCATGTAAAATTATGGAATACTTGAGAACTTTCATTTAGTTTGGTTTTGTTTCTTTCCTCTTTTTTTTTTTTTCCTTTACCCTTCTCCTAATATGTTCATGAAATCATAAGTCTCCAATTCCTTTGTTCCCTCCAGACTGCACTAGTCATACTAGTTATCTTCTTGTGTCCTCCGGTCAACATTTCTATCCCCTCAGTGCATCAGATACTTAGATATTGAGGAAAGCAGTCTGATTAAAGTAATTTACCAGAAGGTATTATTATTTTATATTAATTTACCAGAAGGTATTTATTGGTATATTTGTGTTTTGAGGTAAATAGATAATTATTGTAGATTTGGAAAATTCTGTCACAATCCTACTACTCAAAGATAACTATTTACAAAAATACTAGTGTATTTCCTTTTAATTTTATTTTCACTTCATGTATAAATTTATAGGATATTTTAACCTCAGTTTAATTTTTAATTGGTAGGATTTTAGGCATTATAATCCAGCAAAGTGAAAACTTTCATGTAGAGTAGAAGAAGATATTCCAGGGCTGTTTTTTCATATAATCTAATCATGCTTGGAAGTCCATCTCCTACTGTATTTTTTTCCCATTATTTATTTCTTCTTCCTTTTGAGCTCATAGTTAGATCTCTAAAAGTTCCAAATTTTTCTTCATAGCTTCCATGGCAGTAAGAGTATCCCGTTTAATGGTGTGGTGAGGGACACTACATAAATGGTGGTCATTTTTAAGTCAAGGACTATCTATAATGCAGAATCTCATACTTTTTTATTCTCTCATTGCTTTTTCAGAGTATGTTATGTCTTTGCGGAATGAAAACTATAACACATTCCTGGTTTTTGCATGCTATGTTTGTCAACCAGCCATTATCTACTAGCCTTCCATAAATCACATTTAGCTTTTGCTTTGGTATTTTGTTCATTTTGTTTTCATTGTTCCCCTACAATGTTTTAGATACTAAGTACTACTTCCATGTATTGTCATTATGTAACCTTCATTCATGTATATACCAGAATTCTGAACTAAAGAGTTATTCTGGAACTTAATCATTTGTTGATTTTATTTTACTAATAGGGAATAAAATATAATGTGAAATCATCTCATTGAAAAGCCAACTGTGACATACAAAAACACCATTATAGTTGTCTGTGGCAAACTATTCTAAACCATAGAGAAGTAAGAAACCACAACCCCTGTATAGTATTAACTTTATTAGCACGTACTCTTAGCCTTCAGAATGTCTTGTAGATCCTTTTAAATTTGTATATGTGTTAGTATAGCATTTTGCTGCCTTTGCAATCAATTTTATAACAGCTGCTAGTTATTTAGTGCTATATGGCCATTAGGGAAAAAACATTTGACTCATTATGGGAATTTTTAAATAGCATTTTAAATGAAGTTTTTACTAATTCTTATTTTGTCCAATGTATTTTAACAGGCATGATCAAAAGGAATTGGGAATATATATGTAACCATAAAAAAGAAAAAACGAAGATCCTAGGAGATGAAAATGTTGACCCCCAATGTGAAGACAGTGAGAACAAGTTTGACTTTTCAGTGATGTCCTATAATATACTTTCACAAGATTTATTGGAAGATAATTCACACCTTTATAGACACTGCCGACGGCCAGTATTACACTGGAGTTTTAGGTTTCCCAATATTCTGAAAGAAATTAAACACTTTGATGCAGATGTAAGTGTAAAATATTACCAAAATTCTTCACACAAGGAAGAGTTGAGTTAAATGTTTCATTTGTGCATTTGTGAATGAAGTGATTTTTATCCTTTTTTGTGTTGGGGGATAAAAAGGAGAGATGTTTAAGAACATCTTAAATATGGTGGAACAGTTCTCAACATGTTATCATGACTTCCAGAGAATCATTTGTTTGTATAAATAATTATCTAACTTTTCAAAAATTATCAGAAAAGTTGTAAGTATGGTCAGTTTTGAAACAAGAGCTGGCATATTAAGAAAATATTTTCTTCGGTTCAAAATTTCAATAGTTCATGCAAAAATTTCATCTAAATGATAGTATTAAAAAAAATCAACTTCTCTTAGAAAGGATTCCAAAGATTAGCACAAAAGAACATGGGAATTCAGGATAAAGAGCCTGACATGTAAATTTAAAACATTTCTTTTGGGAAATATCAATCTTGGATAAAAAGAAAGCTCCAAGATTAAAGACCAGAGTTTTGAGATTGGTCAAATTGGGAAACATTAATTTGTTAAATCTAAAAATAACAGGAAAAAAGGATTTTAAGTAATTTTTTTCAATTCTCACCAGGTTTAGAATTTATGAAACCTCCTTTTAAAGGTGAAAGCACCAGAAAATTCATATTTGCATTTCTGTGTTTTAATTCAAGCTATTTTTTTTCTTCCAAGGTACTTTGTTTGCAAGAAGTTCAAGAAGATCATTATGGAACAGAAATCAGGCCAAGTTTGGAATCACTGGGTACAATGTAACTTTTACTTTAGCCAAATTTACTTTTACTTTGGAGATTTGTGTATTATTAAGCATAACTTGCTAAGAAAGATGTAAGATGTAAGCTAAAAATTTTAATTTTGAAAATGTAAATACCTATTTCAGAAGGTCAAAAAAACATTTGAGGTATTTCAATGGGAACCTTTTTAATGTTGATATGTACTTTTAATTCAAAGGGATAGGTATATCAGAATATGTTTAATAGTTCCTATTCCCAGCAGTTGCTGTGCTTACCACCAGAACACTAAGATTCTGATCTCCATGAGATCAGGGATGATTCTGCCTAGTTCATGACAATAGCAGAGCCTCTAGTACTTCATAGATAAAAGCTAAAAACCTGTTTAATGAATAACCACTTCTAGAAACAGGTCATCTTTGGTCATATAGATTGAGAAATGTACCTGCTTTATATTTATTTAATCAGCAAATAATTTTGAGTGCTTACTGTATACTATGCACTGTTCTAGACAGTGGAGTTGGGTAAAACAGGTAAAATGTCTCCTCCCTTGGGCGGCACACACTTAGAATTATAATATATATCAGGAGATACTTATCTAGAGAAAAGTAGGAAAGTAGAATGAGATTTCAATTTTAATCAAAATGATCAAAGTGACATTTTAACAAAGACTTGAAAAAGAGGAACAAGCCATGCCTAGAGCATTCCAGGCAGCAGGAAGACAGGTAATTGGAGATAGGAACAGAGCAAGGGGGAAAGAGCTATGGGCCAAAAGATTAGAGTTGAGGTGAAGAGAGAGGAGATGATTATAGAGCCTTACTGTCATTGTCATGACTTGGAACTGAGAGAGTGATGATGCACATTAGCATAGTAAGGACTTAACTCAGCCAGTAAAGAGATCTGTTAAACACAGTGCTAATCATTTTGGACTCCAGCACTTACTTACATCCCATATTACTAATGTTCTGCAGAATACATTTTGTTAAACATTGTTGAGAAATATTATAAGAACTATGTTTTGACATATATAAACAATTCCTTGTTTTACATTTCTTTCTTTCTTATAGGTTATCACTGTGAATATAAGATGCGGACAGGAAGGAAACCTGATGGCTGTGCCATTTGCTTCAAGCATTCCAAATTTTCGCTCTTATCAGTGAATCCAGTAGAATTCTTCCGCCCTGATATTCCTCTCTTGGACAGAGACAATATTGGATTAGTTTTACTCTTGCAGCCCAAAATTCCATGTGCTACCTCTCCTGCAATCTGTGTAGCTAATACACATCTATTGTATAATCCAAGGAGAGGCGATATTAAGCTGACTCAATTGGCAATGCTGCTGGCAGAGATTTCCAGTGTTGCACATCAGAAAGATGGCAGCTTCTGTCCTATTGTTATGTGTGGTGACTTTAATTCTGTTCCTGGTTCTCCACTCTATAGTTTCATAAAGGAAGGAAAATTGAATTATGAAGGACTTGCCATAGGAAAGGTAAGTGCTCACTTTTCCATTGTTAAGAGGTGGGTAGTTGCTCCATTCATTGTAATGTGAGGATAGTCATCTTGTGGCTGTTAGAAAACCTTGGATGATCCAGTATCTCACTTTACCAAGCCATGATGATTTTCCACAACTCCTAATCAGTCTTTATTCACTTGGTTAATTTTATCTTTTCTGTGCATCTGTGGCAACATTCTGCTTGGAGGAATTAGCAAGCAAGCAAGCAAGAAAGAAAGAAAAATAGGGGGAAAAAAACTGCCAGACATGAATACCTCACAAATAAAGAACTGTTCAAAAGGTGGCAGGATAGAATTTTGAATGCTGGATACAGGCAACACTCTTAGCAAAACTAGTCTTCATTATATTTTCCTCTACATAATGAGTAATATTTTAATGCTTTAGTTTATAATAATTTATCTGGTGCTATTATTTTTATTGTGCTTTCCTCTGCTTTAATCATGTGATCTTCAGTATATTTAACCAAAGTAAACTATACTCCTGGAGTTTTGAGTAATCATAAATTTAAAGAGTTGATCCTCTTAGTATTTGATATAATAGGAATTATATTGCAGGTAGCAAAAAGGGAGAGGCAGTATTAGTCAAAGCGTTAAATGGTTTGGATGTTTAAATTAGAGAAAAATGTGTATATAGGAAAAGACTTGTTTTCATATAAATAAGTACTTTCTGAACTGTATTTGAACATGATTTTTATAAGCACAGATAATTACTTAACATAATGAATAATGGGTAATGTTTACTATTTTTGTTTAGGTATCTGGCCAGGAACAGTCTTCACGGGGACAAAGAATTTTATCTATTCCAATTTGGCCCCCAAACCTAGGTATCTCACAGAACTGTGTGTATGAGGTACAGCAGGTACCAAAAGTAGAAAAGACAGGTAAGCGTTTGCAGTTCATTTTGGCAGTCTGCTGGGCAATAGTATTCCTTTTGAAGCTGTAAGATGAAAAATTTAAAGGAATAGCATCTCAGGGATGAATATTCATATATATGATAAGTATTTATCTATTTGCTCATTCCTTTTTTCAAAGAGCTTTAAATTTACTTTGTAAAGTTGAACTTCCAAAATTACATATGCATGATTACTTGCATGTTGCCTTTGAAATGTTTGCATTTTGTTTTATTTAAAAAAAAAAGTTGTAGGGCTGGGGATGTGGCTCAAGCGGTAGCGCACTTGCCTGGCATGTACGGGGTGCTGGGTTCAATATTCAGCACCACATAAAAATAAAAAAATAAAGATGTTGTGTCCACCGAAAACTAAAAAATAAATATTAAAAAATCTCTCTCTCTCTTTAAAAAAAAAAAAAGTTGGTTAAAAAAAAAGTTGTTTTTTTTTTTTTAGTTGGACACAGTACCTTTATTTTTATTTATTTATTTGTATGCGGTGCTGAGGATTGAACCCAGAGCCTCACACATCCTAGGCAAGTTCTGTACCACTGAGATACAACCCCAACCCTGCATTTTATTTTTCCTAATTCTGGAGACTATCAAAACAGACTCCAGGATAAAACACATAAGGTGGCAGGTGGCAGAGTAGAATTTAAACTAGATGTGTTTTTTTAAATATCATTCTGTAGTAAGAGGACTACACTAAGACAAACTAGAACAAAAGAATGTGTAAGTAAGCTTAATACATTTTTCTGTTCTTACAGATAAAGATCCTACACAAACACAGCTGGAGAAAACAGAGGTCCTCGAAACAGCTGAAAAGTGAGTTCTGGAAAGCAATTGGACACTTCCTGACTTCAGTTGAATAAAAAAATATTTCTCAAAAAAACACTTGGATAAAAAAGGAAGATAGTGTTGATGCTGCTTTTTTAGTGGTGTGATTTTGCACATGATATTTAACATTTCTGAGGTTCAGTTTCCTGATATATAATTTGGGTTGTTGTGAGAATTCACAGAGATAAAATATATAAAGCTTAATGTTTAATGCTTAGTTGGTGTTATGAAAGGACCTAGACCAGCTCAAGTACCCTGAAATTTAAACAAAGGTCAAGGTTGCAGAAAAATATTTTTCAGTTTTCAGGAGGATCCTTAGTATTCTTTGACTTACTAGATCTCAAAACAGTCTACAGGAGAATTGATCAAAAAAAAAAAAAGAGTATGCCAGTAGAAAAGAGAAATTTTATAATATCTTGAACTATAGGAAAAGAACATCAGCGGATGAAGATGTGTGGATTCCTTATTAAAGAAACATTAATGTTTCGGTCTGTGGTTGAGAAATGGATTTATGTTAGCATAACAAGACAGGGATCTATGTCTTATCTCTTTGGGAAATTTTTGAAATATTTTGATTATTTTATGTTGTGAATAAGTTTTTGTTTTAACATTTAAACTTAGGAACCTAATTAGGAGCATCTCTCCTACATTTTATTTGTTTTCTTTTTTTAAAATATTTTTTTAATTGTAGGTGGACACATTGCCTTTGTTTTTATTTATTTATTTTTATGTGGTGCTGAGGATCAAACCTAGTACCTCACACATGCTAGACGAGTGCACTACCACTGAACCACAATCCTAGCCCCCTTATCTACTTTCTTAATTTTATTTTGTATACCTTGTTTTGAGAACATATTCTCACATCATAAAAACTCAGTAAGAAAGGAAGCAGTTTTTTGGTTTTCAAAAAGGAATATTTAGCCACCTGTTGTGGTGCATACCTGCAAGCCCAGCAACAGGCCGGAGGATCACAAGTTCCAGGGCAGCCTAAGCAACTTAATAAGACCCACAGCCTGGGCAACTAGTGACAGTGATTCTGTCTCAAAGTTTTTTTAAAAAAAGTGGGTGGTGGGGGAGTGGGGAGGGTGGCTGCTGGGGATATAGCTCAGTGGTAGAGCTTTTCTAGCATGTGTGAAACCCTAGATTCAATCCCCAGTATCAAAGGAAAAAAAAAAATAAAGAAGATTAACCTAAAAAGTAATAATTTTAAGTAATTCTTAAATTGTTTTAAAATAAGATGGGATATGAGAAAAGATAGGTTGACTATCTGCACATGAATGCAGTGCATTTATATGTACAGCTTTTATCTGTAAACTGAAAAATTTATGGTAAGATGAAAATTTGCAGAAAACCTATTTACATTTAATAATTCTGTAAATATATGTTCCTGAACATAAGAAGTTCCTAAAAGTTGGAAGTTAAGAGCAATTCCAAGGAATTATCTTTATTTATTGGCATACTAACTCGTCAAAAACAAAACCACATTAAAACCTCATTTTTATCTGTAGCCTCAGCACCTAAGATAGTGCCTAGAATTATTAGATGTTTGACAAATGTTTGTTGAATGAATTTTCAAAATGTTCTGAAGATTTTATTTTTCTTTATGGCATAAATGATCTTTAAAATTTATGATGTATTACTAGAAAATGATCTTTAAACCCTTTGCCCATAACATCACATGTATTTATAGTAAATGTAAGCCATTGTAGAAGCTGACTTCAGATGCAGCCTGAAGTTATCTCATACATCAGAGCAAGAATAACAGAAAAATGTGGTCCCTCTGATGTCAGAAGTCTTTTTCTTTCTTAAAAATAATTTAAGTTGTCTTAGAATACATGTTAATTATCAAGTAAAGGCTTTTGAACATAGTTTCATTAGTATGTTGGTTATTGATATATTGGATTTTGAATATCACTGCATAAGTGAATGCTAAATTATGATATGGTCTGTGTATATAAAACTTGTCCTAATGTCTGGTCTTAATGTAGAAATTGAATGAAAAAGTACTTTAAATAGGAGTCTTGAAAAACTTGATGGATGCTGAATGCTTTTTCTTTTCAATTTAGATTATCTTCAAACCTACAGCACCATTTTAGCTTGTCATCCGTTTATTCACATTTCTTTCCTGACACTGGAATTCCAGAAGTTACCACCTGTCATTCTCGAAGTGCCATAACTGTGGATTATATTTTCTACTCTGCAGAAAAAGAAGATGTTGCTAGGCACCCAGGTAAAAACTGTATGTATTCCTAACTCTGCTAGAGAGCCCAGTAGCTAAAACTCCAAGGCTGAAGTTAAGAAAGTTAGCTAAACCTCTAGATAAAGTTCCAGATTTAGAAGTTAAAATACTCTGAAAGAAACAGTTGATGGTGTCAATCAGTTACTTGCCTGCATATGATAGAAAGCAGGAAAGTACTCCAAAGAAATTATTTAAAAATTATATCCGTAGTTGATAGTAACTGAATAGATTGTCAATGGTCATCATACAGTTTTGTGGTTAAGATTTACTAAGGCATGCTGCCTTTGTTGTAGGACCACACTTATCCTGCCAACAACAGTTTTGTATATTGACTTTGGAATATTGGATCTTTCTGAGGTTTCTAGCGTGACTATGTGTTTCTAAAAAGCAAAAGTGATAACATCTTTCCTTGTATGACTCAGTGAAAATCAGGTTGTATACATTAATCAAAGGATTTTAAATGGAGAATTTAAAATAATCAGAATATAAAGTAGAACTTTGGGCAGTTTTAAATATGGGCAGCTTTTTTTTTTCCCGTCTCTCTGTCTCTGTCTCTCTCTCTCTCTCTCTCTGTCTGTCATCCCTAGCACTTTGTATTTTATGAGATGGAGTCTTACAAGTTGGCAGTTGGCCAGGTTGACCTCAAACTTGTGATCCTTCTGTCTCAGCCTCCGTAGTTGCTGGGATTACAGGTGTGGGCCACCATTCCCAGCTCTCTTCCTTTTTGTGTGTGTGTGTGTGTGTGTGCTTTTTATATTTTCCCTTTTGTTCCTGTTTTATTTTACCTCCCCTTCCTTCTGGGGATTACTTTATTAGTAACACTCTTCCTACTAAAATCAATTTTATGAAATAGCTTGCTATAATAGGGTTCTGGAAGATGTCATGCCTACAAAAGTTCACTAGGTGGCGGGAGAGTATCATGGATCAGCCTCTCAAATCTCTTCATAGTTGAGAGCGTGTCATGTTTTACTTCTGTGGGGGCAGCCTCTCTGGGAGTAAATTATACTTATTCTCCAGTTACCTGATAAGCTTCCTACATAAGTGTGGTTGGATCTGTTTGGTTTTATTGCAGTTACAAAATGGTTGATGGATGATTTATTGGGTAGTTATCCATTTGAAATTACTCTTAACATTTTTTTATGTATTACATTAATATTTTCCTCTAAAGATTATTTGCAAAACTTAAAATAGAAAAATGTATTTGAAGTACAAATAATATCAGAAACTGCTGTGAGTTTGAGAATTATTGTTATAACTCAATAAAACAATTAATCCTTCTAAAAACTTTCATATTAGTGTTCTGTAGGAGTCTCAAGTTCTTTGTCACTGTTTAGAAAAAAAGCCTTGTGTAATTAATTTACAATAACTCATTGACAGTTTCACTAAACATGTATCTGCTTCTTTAATGTAGGAGCTGAAGTTGCTCTGGGTGGTGGCTTGAAACTTCTAGCTAGACTGTCACTTCTTACAGAACAAGACTTATGGACTGTTAATGGACTTCCAAATGAAAATAACTCTTCAGATCATCTGCCTTTATTGGCTAAATTCAGACTTGAGCTCTGACTCTTCTTTGATTATATACATAATTTTATTTCTGGTTATATTCTTTTTCAAAGACTATAAAGTTATTCTTCGGCTTTTGCATGTTTATTTTTGTGCTGTGGAGTTTCTGAAGAGATCAAGTGCTTGAAACAGATATCGGAAGAAACAAGTTTACAACAATTTTCTTTTTTAATGATGAAAAATATTTTCCTGACAATTGAGATGTAAATACTCTTTATTATAAAAGATGTGTAAATTTTTATTCTAAATCTTAGTAAAGTTGACAATGTTTTTAAAATATAGTGCATCTTCTTGAGTCTGTTTAGTGAAGAATTTCATTTCATGTTTTTGGAAAGCTTTAAGTGGATCCAGAATATCTGAGTTCTTGCAAACCACAATTTGTTTCTGTCCTATAGGCGTGATTTCTTTGGGAAAACTCTATGTGTTTTGAGTCCCAATTGGTTGTCTCAGAAATCATCAGATCATTCACAGGTATCCAGCCTACCATTTTAGTTTTTGAAGGTAATAATGCTTTAAAATTGTACAGAATGCTTAATCCTTCTTATTATTGTCCTGAGCCGTGTGATATGCCTGTAGTTTGGAGAAAAGGTTTGGGAAATGGAGGTCACCATAAGAGGATGAGGTCTTATAAGTCTACTCTTTTCACCCCATAACAGATATAGGTGGACCTAAAAGTAGTAGACTTGAGTTATGCCTTTGTTTACCTAGGATTTTCTTTGTGTTTTTCTGTTTTCTGTAAGAAAAGATCTGTGGGGCCAGGTGCTGTGGCACATGCCTGTGACTCAGAGGCTGAGGTAAGAGAATTGCAAGTTTGAGGCCTCAGCAATTTAGCAAGGCCCTATGTAACTTAAGAGAGAACTTGCCTCAAAATAAAAATTTAAAAGGGGGGTCTGGGGATACAGGTAGGTGGTATAGCACCCCTGGCTTCAGTCCTCAGTACCTTCCATGATCCCCACAAAAAAAGAAAAGATCCCTGATTTAGGGAAGAGATTCTGTTTTACTGAACTGATTTTGTAGAACTATATTTTATTAGGAAAATCATCAGAACAAAGTAGCAGCTATCAGGGTTCTAAGAAAGTTGTAAAACTCTGAGGGGAGATACCAACTTGGATACCTAATTCTCTAGAAGAGCTCTTTAAAAAGCCATCAGTTTCAGTGTTGTTTTTTTTTTTTTTTTTTTTTTTGGTACCAGGGATTAAACCCAGGGGTGCTTAACCACTGCGCCACATCCCCAGCCCTTTTTAATATTTTATTAAGACAAGGTTTTGCTGAGTTGCTTAAAGTCTTACTAAGTTGCTGAGGCTGACTTTGAACTCAAGATCCTCCTGCCTCAACCTCCCAAGCCTGCTGGGATTATAGGCGTGTACTACTGAGCCCACCTTTATTTTGTTTTATAGTGGTGCACCAGTGTAAGGTAGTGCTTATTTTTGAGTGGATTATAAGAGGTTTTTATGAGGTCTGATAAAATCCTGTAGGTGGTTCTACGTGTTTGAACCAAAAACAAATTTTTTTAAACAATTTTTTTTTTGTAGTTGTATATGGACAACTTTGTTTTATTTATTTATTTTTATGTGGTGCTGAGGATCGAATCCAGGGCCTCACACGTGCTAGGCAAGCACTGTACCACTTAGCTACAGCCCCAGCCCCTTGAATCAAAAAATTTTAAAATATAAAAAGTTAAAATTTTATTTTATAAACAGTAGGATCAATGGATTATAAACATTTTTACTAAGCAGTCACTTTGCACTAAATTATAAACATTTTTACAGTGAATTTTATTCCTAGAATGTCTTGTCTTCAATTGGAAAACATACTAGTCTTGGACTTAAAATTTTTGTACTATACCATTTGCTATAATTATTTTTTAAAAATAAACCAGATGAAAGCCTCCAAGAAGAAGTGCAGGTGATAAAGATTTATCTATTAAAATCTGTAGTAAGTGAATACTTTGAAATGTTTAATTGCTTACTTTTTTTTTTTATAGTTGTAGATGGATAGCATGCCTTTATTTTGCTTGTTTATTTTTATGTGGTGCTGAGAATTGAACCCAGTGCTTCACATGTGCTATGCAAGTACTGTGCCACTAAGCTACATCCCAAGCCCTTCTTTTTTAAGTTTTTATTTAGTGTCAACTATAGTTCAAAGATTTTCCTCATTTTTTAGTAGAATAATATAGGTCCTGATTAACAGATATAGTCATCATCAAATTATAATGATAATAGAATTATCATTGTAAAATTATAATGATAATAGAATCTCTTTACAGTATTGGGGAAATAAAAATGAAAATTCATTGATTAGTGCTTCATGTTGAATGAATTTATTTTAAAATCACTTTATTATATGTAGGTCATTTTAGCAATCTGATATCCCTGAAAACCTCTGAAAATTTTATATCCTAATAAATACATTGTGAATTTTGGCCCATTTCATGTGCTTCACTTTGAGAAGAGTTAATCCATAAAATTGCTTTCTATTTTAACTTATCAAATGAAGTGTTATTTTGTGGACCAGAAGCCAACAGGTCACTATAACTTTCTCACAAGCTTTTAAAGCTCCACTGAAAAGTAATTATCCACTTGTCTTTCCTTTTTTTAGCCACTAGAGTTGGTAATGCTTCTGGATCTTCATTTTTACCTGCCAAAAACAATCGTTAATTGCAGAAACCAAATCTCACAGTCTAAAGTGTTATATACTATTCAAGCAAAGGGAGATTGTGAAATAATTAAATTTTTATTTTACTCTGTGTTTTTAATATCAAGATAATATGCATGTTAGAAATCTTGTCTTTCTCTTTTTTTTAAATTTAACAACTGTCTGCTTTAAACACTTTGCTTTTTTAAAAAAAATAAATAATAATCAAAGTTATTTGGGAGCCAGAGAGTTCAAGGGCTTGGGGGAATGAAGGAGTCAAGTCATTTGCACTTTGTACCTGTAAATTATGTAATAAATTATTAGAATTGTACATCTGGTGCCTGAACTTTTTGTGGTAGATGTACTAAGCTGCACAAGTTGGCTTTTGGCCTCTTCAAAAGTATTTCAGTACTCTGTTCAGCCTTTATTACTACTTGGGGTAGTGCTACAAGCTAAGATGCCAAAATAGAGGACCAAGGAATAAAATTATACCATCTGATATTTTTAGTGGAATAAAAAAGAGAACACAATTGTTAAGTTTCCAGGATGGTTTTATTAAATTTCCATGCTATGTATAAACATACAAGTGATGAGAAAAACATTAACTTGAAACATGCACTTATCTGGCATTCTCTAAAATACCATTATACAAGTTTTCGTTTACTTAGAAAAATACCCACTAAAACAATCACAGATTTTCTTAAAAGATTTAAAAAAAATGTATTGGCCAGAACAAAGTTCAGGAGAATAAACAAGATTCCAATAGTATGTCAAAAAAACTGTACAAGGTTGTACATAAAACTATAGCTTACAAAAGCCTCAGGTATAGTAAGAATACTGAATTAAGATTTCCAAAGTTCTATTTACCAATATCTATTAATAAAATCCTTATGAAATAATTGACTTAGAAAAAGTGAAATGCTCATGATTTCAGTGTGTATAGAAAATACTAAATATCACTTTCTGAAATAAAGTGTACTCAAAACATCACAACATAGTCTCAGATCAAAATTTCTGTCATTCATTTAAACTTTGCATATAATGCCATGTGGCTTAAGCATAAAATTTCTCTTGCATAATAACTTTAAAAACTAGACTCCAAATCATCTTGTAACTAAATTTTTTATCTTTTGAATTACAGCTATTCTTAAAATCAGTTTTGAGAGGTAAAACATGTTGGGCTTGTTGTTTGGTTGCTTATTTGGGGTTTTTGCCATAATATTATTATTTTTAATTATTACATTAGAATTTAGGATTTGGTGACTTTCCTATATCTTTTCAAAATTAACATATTCTGTAGGCAATAGAAGTAAAATGACAACTGTGAACAGTTTAAATAAGTTTACATGTTGCTGTGAGTAACCCTTACTTAGGAAAAATGAATGTAAAAATCACAGAATGTCAAAGAAATTAGGTTGCTAATTTGAATCATCTGGCCAGTTGGCAATTTTAAGGCTTATACATCAACATTACTGGGAACAGTTTTATATTCCTGTTCTTTTACCTTTTCTTGGGAGAAACAAGAGGCTCTGCAACTATTTGACATTTTGTGTTTGGGATAGGATAGTCCTTAAGTAGTACTTGGCAAATGCTATTCTAAGCTCTTCTGACATTACAGTTGATTGAGCAGTCTGTTTATTGGACATAATAAAGTTTCAGATGGATAACAGAAGATACATGGTGAAATTGGTATTGTTTCAGAGAGAGAATGAAATGATTCACTGGCTACTTGGAACATCAGAACACATGGGCCATGAAGACTGCCATTGAATATACTGTGAAAAGATAAAAAGGCATCATTTTTTTTCCCCTTGGTGCTTGGGATTGAACCCAGGAAGGATCTTGCACATGCTGAGTGTGCTTCACCACTGAACTACATCCCTAGTCCAAAAATACTATTCTTAAAAACTGTTATAAATTTTCTCTCACGCTGCATTTAGTCTGCGTGAAATGTATACTTACTTGGTCATTAAGGGACATTAGACTTCCTTTTCCAGAAAAGCATTACTTTCATTAATAATACTGATTTATAGGGTAAAGTGAGCTAAAGGATGAATGCCTTGTGCTTTTATGACACCCCCCAGAGGCTTTATTGGTATAAGTTATCACAGAACAGATTCTTACCTTTATTTTTTTTTTAACTCCCTTCTTTCAACTACCTTTAGTCAAAGAAAGCCAAAGGAGAAACACTGAACTAACACTTTTGTTGACAAGCTTAATCAGACTTGACTTAAATATGTCCTTTGGTCTTACAAGTTAGCATGGTTGCTAAAATAAAACAAATGAAATAGAAGTTCTGCTCTTGATATTTGTAACACAGATTACACATGTCTGCCCTCAGGACTGCTCTGGTCTGCAGCCAGAAGTTACACCGTAACTGTTATATACAGCCAGAGGTGCATTATGTGCCCATGGACTAAATTACACTTTCATGTGTAACATTGTACCAGAAGACTTTCCATTCTAAAAAAAAAAAAAGAAAAGGAAAGAAAAATGTTCTACTAATCCATAGATTTTTTCAAGTACTTCCAAATTGTCATGAAGAGGTATCTAAAAGCAAAGAACTGGAAAAAAGAATCATATTGTATCACATTTGGCCTTAATATAAGACATCAGAACACATCTTTAACAATGGTAAGTTCTTCAGAATCAAAACTTAAGAGTTTAAAAATCAGATGAAATGTGAGAGAAAAGGTTATCAGGTTCTCAGGACCCCTGAGATTCATTCCTGTCTCTCTGACTTTGAGTGTGTTGCTGGCAGAGATTGTAATCTCAATACTGCTAAATTTGTGGAAGGAGTGTATGACCTCATGTTCTTTTTTGCCAGACTCTGCAAAGTTTAAATGTTAGTGACAGAACATAGACTAGCTTTTGACTGTGCTTGTTTTGAAAGAACAAAAAATGCTCTCAGCAAATGTTTTAAGAAACAAGTAATTCCAAGATCCTAAAAATGGTTTCCCGTATTGCCAGGAGAATTTCAGTGCTTTTTAATGAAACACCTGCATAAAATACCTTAAATCTCGTTGTCACCTGTGTGCACCAGGAAAAAACTCCAAACTTGTGTAGATCCCCATGGGGAATGTTGGGGAAACAATACAAATAGAATATAAAAAACCAAAATACCATTAAGTTTGCATATCTAATGTCAAAAGGCTGAGGTAATATTAACTGCTTAAAAAAAACCCCACCATTCTTTGCTTCTGTTATTGCTGAAAAAGATTAATACTGATTGAGTTACCTTACTATACCAAAAGTGGGAGAGGATTTATGAACATTTACTACTGGTGAGGCATAATGTTCAAAGCAAGTAAAAGGAAGTCAGTAAATGGAAAAATATAAAACTACTATGAATGTTTGTTATCCTTGAGATCTTTAGTGAGGGAGACAGTCCAGCCCCAGTGGGGTTTATTACTTTAGCCTTTTCATGGTCAGAGTTTTTAAAGCTAATTATCCCCACCCACTCAGATTCTGTTTCCAGGTGAATCCTTAAAAATAAAATTTTCAAGTTCTTAATAAATAATAGTTGCAGTTCCTCCTGAAGATGCTGGGTAAAGTGCAGAGAGAAGCACCACAGAAACCCTCTTGCTGCCCGGAATGGCTTGGCTAGATTCGGATTTGATAGCCCACTTCATTCAGAGTGCTGAGATCAGCCACCTTCTTTTCAGGCAGAGCAGGCCTAAAGTTCAAAGACAGGAAGATGGTGGGAGAGAGGGGATAGGGCAAAGAAAGATAATGAGCATCTTCAAGGGCCTCTACTCAGAGTTCCTGACCTTTCTGATCCTTGTCTTTTTCCACCTTCCACCCCGACTCCACCAGCCTTAGCTCCCAACTCTGGTTCTTGTTCTTAGGTCTGCTTTTATAGGTTTTAAGGAACATTCTAGCAGGCTTTTAATGTAGAGATCAAAAATTTTCAGGGTGTTGAATGAACTTTTTCAGCTGTAAGACAATGGAGTCCCATGATAACTTCTGAAACCCAGTTCCGCTATACATTGCAACTGTCTAAAAAGTCACATATGCCACAGACTGAAAGTGGAATTCTCCTGGAAACTGATTTCCTAGCGTTTGTGTCTCCAAGGAAGCTCAGATATTACAGGGTGACTCAGGTGACCCAGATTCTGGGAGAGGATCCCAGTTACCATTGATAGAGGGTTTATATTCCAGACTTGAATATATAAAATCAAGGTGAATTTTTCAAAATTTATCTGAAAAGAACATGTCATTATGGAAGTTATTCAGTGGCAAAGCATGTCTCTTTCCTAAGAAACATTCTCTAAAGTACTTTCCAATATCAATATAAAACTATGCCTATGTATTTATGTAAGAAAGTACTTGAAGCTAGGGGGAGGTGGTAGAAATCACTTAGTAGCACATCATCTGTTGTCATTAAAGACATTTTCTAAGTGACTTTCTAATATAACAGTGCCTAAGCCTTCTTGTGGTTTATCTTGCGATTTTTCCTCTTCCTAATGAGCCTCTTTCTCACCTTGGATAAGAAGTAACCAAGACTATAAACCAGCTTTGGGATGTTTAATGTCTAGTGATTTCTAATCTAAAAGCTTCACATTTGGTCATTTTTACAAGAAAAATATTTTTAGGTTACATATGAACCTTGTTCATAATTATAAAAAATAAAATGTAATTGTAAAAAATTTCTTAGTTTATACCTTTGAAAGTTTTCCTAACAGCAAATGGTTTTCCCCTGGCAGGAAGATAGCCCAGTTTATTCAACTAGAAATAAACTTCCAGCTTCAGTCAGCTCAGCTCAATGAATGGCGTTAAGCACTGCCAACAAATTCTGTACTTTCCTTCTTGACCTTATTAAGTCCATGACCCTTCTTCTCTGAAACTTGACTTCAGAAACGTCCCTGACTTGGAACTTGGCCCCACTAAAAAACAAAAAGCGTAATCTTTATTTTCTCTGTATTGTATGGGCTTATTTCTCAGCTAGACCACATGTCCTGCTTTATCAGTCAAGATCCATGCCTCCTTCTTCTTTGTGTCTTTTATGGTTCCTGGGGCTCACCCACAATGCTAATAAATACAGGTGACTGCTGGTAGAAGACCAACACTGTGTGTAGACTCTTGCTTTTTTTTTTTTTTTTTTAAATCAAAGAGCCCAAGGCTTCCAGTCCTCAGCCATTCACTTTAAATAGGACCACTACCCACAGGCCTGAAGAGTGGCCTCCAGTTCCCAAGTGAGGGCCCTGCTTGGGTTGACAGCTAAAGGAAACACAGTTTTGCTTGAGGATTCAAACTTAGATTTCTGCCCTAGTCCTCTGCCCACTGATGTGGAGAGAACTATGGTTCTTACAAGTCAGGTTTAAAGGGTCCATATATTTCTTGTTCACTTTGTCAGAAAGCCTGAAGTGAAGCCTCTATTTTGTCTCCTTGCCTGAGATGATATCTTTACAAACAGCTAATTTGAGACTTTCTCCCTCAAAGCATTCTCTCCGTACATAAGTATCAGCCTAAGACACGTGTTTAGAAAGGTAAGTCAACTTCTCATCTTCCTGGCATGTTCTACTCTTAAGAAAATTCAGTAATAAAAAATACACTTGCCCAGGGAGAAGCTGGAAGTATGTATATACAATTCCTTACTTTAGAGAAGGAATAAATAAAAGTCATTTCCTACAGCAACTAAAATATGGACACCACTTTTTCTGGTGGTGTAACTATGAAAAAGCAAATTCTTCTTATCTCAATGGAAACTACATTTGTAATAGATGATTTTTTTAAAAATTTCAATATTTATTCTTCAGTTTTCGGTGGACACAACATCTTTGTTTGTATGTGGTGCTGAGGATCGAACCCGGGCCGCACGCATGCCAGGCGAGCGCGCTACCGCTTGAGCCACATCCCCAGCCCAATAGATGATTTTTTAACTGAAGTTTTCAATGATCTGTGTGTGGCAGCCTTAGTTGCCCCTCCATATTAACTCTCCCCTTTGTGAGAAATCCCCGCCCCCAACTTTTAGCTGAGCACCTGGCTGCCTAGAATACAAACTACATCCCCTAGTCTTCCTGTAGCCAGCCTGAGTTTGGCTGACACACGGCCAATGAGATGGAAGTGGAAGTGTGTGGCAGTCGGCTACCAGGTCTCCTCTTAGACAACTGGCATGTGCCTTTCATCTTTTTATTTCCCTCTAACTTCCTGCTGAGGACAATGTGGAAGTGATGTGGAGCTTGAACCTCAAGTTGGTCACTAAAGAAGTCAGAGCAGTAAGAAGCCCCATACCACTTCTGTTGAGCTGCTTTCATGTAATAGGGAATCTTGTAAGTCACCATCTCCAACCCCACATTATCCACAGCTAAACCTGATCCTTGTGGATACCAGTTCCCTCCATTAACTCAAAATTGCTAATTCACACCCAATGCTGGTAACAATGGGTGTTGAGTCAGCCTGAGGAAGGTTCGTGTGTGGAGTTAGAACTTGTTCCTAGCAAGTTATAATTCCACTCATGAGAAATAGTGGTACCTAAGTGAAGTCAGGAGACACACTCCCTTCTCAGGGTCAGTTGTCTTCCCTGTAACCCTGCTAAACAATGTAGGACCTAAGTCATGGTGGCTCCTTGGGTCTCCTGTTGTCCCTGGAAAGTAAGCAGTTCCTGTGCTTAACAAGAGAATCCCTTGCTCCAGAGTCCTTGTCCAACCTACCACTGATGAAAGCTGGGCCTCAAGCAGGGTAAGCATGTGCTCCCTACCAGTCAGCTACAGCCCCAGCCCTAGAACCTTTCAGGTACATTCTTTATTTTTGAGGTACTGGGAATTAAACCAGGGTCGTACAGATACTAGGCAAGCATTCTATCACTGGACTACAGCCTCATTCCTTTTCATTTTGTTTTGAGACAGGGTCTGAGTTGTCTAGGCTGCCTCCAAGTTGGTGATCCACCTGCCTCAGCCTCCCAGATAATCAGGATTTCCGGTGTGTGTCACTATGCCCAGCTCAAGTGCACACTTTCTTCCTGGCCTGGCATCATCCTCAATACCAAGATGCACCTCTCATTCTGAAGCTAAATAAGTTGCCCTTCATGTATGAAAATACTGCCAGTAAGATGCTAGCTTAATATTTTCCAGGTATTGAAATAGATCTATACTGGTTGTTCACTCCCAGTCCTGTGCCCAACAGCATCTCCTGGGAAGTCAGTGGCCAGAACAGGCTACAGGACAGGGTCAATAAGACAAAGTTTGCCCCCTGGTTCCTGAACTGTGGGCTTGCTGTGTCACTTTTTGGCCAGTCACTTTGGAGCTCCTCAGACCTGAGGAACAGGATTTTCACAGTCCATGGGTTCCTAAAATTTCACTCTACTTTTATCCAGGTTCTGTTATTGGCACATCTGAAAATAGATGAAATTTAGTTTGCGAGTTTTTGGCCTCCTTTTTCTAGATCTTTCCTTAGCACTTCCACCAATTCCCCTGTGTCTTCCAGGAGCCAAGAAATCACTTATAAATAGCTTGAATCTATCAGGCACATACAACGTGCCAGGCACTGTTCTATAAGGTTGGGCTTATTAATTCTCATCATAACCTACCAAGGTTGATACTGTTACTGTCTCTTTTATAGAAGAGAAAGCAATGAAGTTAGGGAACTTGCTCAAGCAAAGTCACACCATTGGCCAGGGTTGGTCGCCAGAACCTACAGCCCATGCCTTATGAGCAAGCTGCCCCACCCCAGCCCCACCCCAATCAAAGCACCTGAGGACGCCATGGCCACTCTTGCCTCTGCACCTTGCCTATTTGGTCCTGTCTGAAATGCCCTTCCCCACCCATATCTTGTCATCCCTACAGGTCCAACCCAAATGCCCCCTATTCCATGAAATATTTCCTGACAATTCACTATTTGCTGTTTCTTAGATTCATCTGTTCAAGAATCCTGCTGATTCACGATCCTTGTGCCTTGAAAACTGAAGGATCAAGAGCAGGGTCCAAGTAAATTCATCTGTGAGTCCCTCTGTTGAGTATGTACCTCTCCAACCTAATGTGTAAATGGCTGATAGGGCCTCATATGCTACTTTTATCATGTAATATCTTATTTGAACAAAGTCCTAAGCCAGGAATTCAAGTTACCAGGACAACATCTGAAGAATTAACAAGTAGGAAGATTTTTTTCTTCTGTATTGGAGAGGCTTTATTCCTCAAAGTCATGTAGGGAACCTGCCTACTCAGTAAGCTGACTACGGTTGTGTAATGACAGCCAGCTTGTATACTCCTAAAGGAAAGTGACGAGGTGTCTCCTCCCTTTGTATTCCCACCCTGCCTGCCACCCCTGGACCTCCAGATCCAGGGGAAGAAAGCCTAATTCTGGTGGAAGAAGAGCGAGGCTGAGATTCCTAGTGAACTGCCTGGGAGATGAAACCCTTTCCTTTCACAGTGGCAGTGACTGTAGCTTCCTGGTCTGGCAAAGGATAGAAGTGGGTTATCACAGCATGCCACCTGCCTGTTGGGTGCAGCCAGAAATAGTGCTCAGTCCTCGCCAGCTCAAATCAGGGCCAGAGCTGGGGGAGCTATGGTGTGTGTGGAGGCCTCTTCCAGTGCTCCCCCATTTATAATTAGAATATTGCCAAGGGGTTATTTTTAAGAAACACGAACACCAGGATGATGATTCAGCTGAGTCTGTGCTTGCCCAAAACCTCTCATCAGATCCCGGGTTATTTTAGATTGAACATTGTTCTCCAGGCTCATTCCCAGTCCAAACATGGCAAGGGAATCAAAGGATTTCCCTTCTGCAAGGCTCTGGAGCAGCATTCTGTTTCAAGGGGAAGGGGTGACACTCTTGTTTGCTTTGACTCCCTTTGTGGGAGGAACAAGGGGCCCAGCCTCATCTGTTCTCACATAAATGTGAGTAGGGTGAACTCAGGCAAAAGCCTGTTGGCCCATCTGGTCTACCCTTAACCCTGACTGTGGGTCGGCATCCTGGGAGCCAGCAGGTCAGAGGCTGGGAGGGGGAGGTAGGTTGGGGAGGACAGCATGGTGGTTCCACAAAGAAGGTATTATGTGGACAGCACCTCTGGACTGCTCTTCCCCACTACTACTTGAGTTTTGACAGTGAGTCCTTTGCACACCAATCAGTGTGCTCTAAGTACTGCTACCTGTGAGGCCACAAGAGGCCTCAGAACCAGAAATGAGTGCAGTATGTTGGGGACTATGGGGACATCACCACATCCTAGGGCTTAACATACAAGGAGGTGTGTGTCCCCTTGAGGCTGGGTTTAAGAAAAGATGTAGTGGGCTGGGGCTGGGGCTCAGTGGTAGAGCACTCGCCTGGCTTTCATGAGGCACTGGGTTCGATCCTCAGCACCACATAAAAATAAAATAATAAAACAAAGATATTGTGCCCACTTATAATTAAAAAATAAATATTTAAGAAAAAAAAAAAGAAGTAGTAAGTGGAAGGAAAGCTTATAGGATTCCCAAACCCCCAGTCTCTCTTCTACCCTCTGACAAAGGGCTGTGTATGGCACACATGCTGGCAGGACCCACACACACACATGCAAGAGGACCAGTACCGCTGTGTCACATGCAGACTTGGGATTCCTGGAAGGGATGCATGGTGTAAAGGTGCACCCTAACATTAACCCCTTAGCCCTCCATGTTAAGGGTGCTACTGGCCCAGCATTTACAAGTGTAAACAGAAACCCCATGCCCTCCTCTCCTGTCAGGTCTGACAGGAATCAGATCAGGCCAAACCCCAATTTAGCATTTATGGCTTATCTGAGTAGGCCCTGAAGAAACATGGAGTCAGCTGGAAGAACGCTGGGAGGGCAGAGGTCCATTCACACCTGTCACCCTCATTCAAGACCAGTCCACTCCTCCCTCGCATTCCTTGCTTCCCAGGATGTCGGGCACCACTGATGGGGCAGACAGCTGAGGTTGTTACGTAAACAGGGAGGCCTTGCCAAGACAGAATGGGCCCATCCCTTACGCCCTTCCCAGGCAGGAGGCTCTGGCCAGAGTTCAAGAGCCACAGGCCATTGTCTGAAACTCCACAGCACCACTTCCAGGCTCTGATGTTACCTCTCTTTTCTGTGACCCAGAATCCCAGCTCCAGGAACCCTGACCCTGTGTGACCCTGCAGAGCTCACAGAGGTTCTTGGCTCACTCTGCCTGACCTGATCTGTCCTGATAAGGCCCACCGCTCCATCTTGGTTTCTTCAAGTGTCCCTAGGGACCCCGGGTCATATGAAATCCTATGAGGAGCTAATGGGTAAGTCATTTGAGTAGAGACTGCTCTGTTCACATAATCTGGGAAGTTTGCTTTTCCTCCATAGTCGTCGTCTTTTTTTTTTTTTTTTTTTTAACTCTGTTCTAAGGAAGTGTTCTTTCTATCCTGGGAATGTTTTCTTGTCTGGGATCTGAGGAGAATGACTGCACCGAAGGATCCTATTCAAAATATCTTCAGTGTGGGCTGGGGTTGTGGCTCAGTGGTAGAGCGCTTGCCTGGCACGTGTGAGGCCCTGGGTTCGATCCTCAGCACCACGTAAAAATAATTAAAATAAAGGTATTGTGTCCAACTACAACTAAAAAATAAATATTTAAAAAAATATCTTCAATCAGAATCAAACTCATTCTCTGTGACTTCATAAATAGCCTCTGTCCTCATTCACCCTGAAGCCTAGAGATGTGTAATCCTCTCTGAAAGAATGAAGCAGGATTTGCATTGTCCAACTGTGACCCTGTGACCAAGGGACCTTATCTTGAGGTGAGGCTTAGTAACTCTGGGACCCAGAGGGTCTCCAGTCGGGTGAGCAGAGCCCACTAGAGCCACAGATGCCAGGCAGGATGATGAAAGAGGGAAATCAAAAAGGAAGAAACAAAAATAAAAGAAGAAACATGAACAGGGGAGAGACAGAAGGTGGGGAAAGGAGCCATATGGAGAGAGAGAACAAAGAGGTTCTCTTGGGTCCTTATGGACACTGGCCCCAATGAAGAAGACTCTCCCTTGTGGTCACTCCAATGGGAGGTGCTCCCTACTGCCCACATAGCCAGCCAAGTCAGAAAACTCCCATCAGCTCCCTCTTACACTCCCAGGCCCAGGTCCCTGGTAGCAAGCTGAGAGTTGTGACCTATCGGAGATGGGAAGGACCTCGGGGAACATGCACGCAAGCTCATTGGGGGCTCTACTGACACGTGCAGTGAAAGCTTGCTTATGGGGCATGGTGGTCCTGGGCCTGGCAGAGCTTTAACCATCCCTGGTCCCCCAGACCTAATGGGAGTGTCCTTGCTTACCACCAGAGAGGCAAGATCTCCCACTGCTCATCTAACCCTGCTCTTTGCAAGCTGGCCCCAGTTAAATCGCCACTGTGATTGTCCCTCTGTGAAGAGCTATGAGGGCACTGAGGCCCAGAGCTGGGGAGGAGCTGGGTTAGGTTCACAGAGGGCCTTTGATACATGAACCTCAAACTCCATCACCCTTTCTCTCTAAGAACCATGGGGGAAACTGACCTTTCTCTGTAGAAGATACTTTACACACTCCTGGGGCAGCAGAGTAGGAGAAAAGATGCATGGGTGGAGGGGCTTCCCCGTCTCCCCCTGGAAACTGTCTCAGCTGATGCTCATACAGTCATCTCCACTTACCCACCCACTCAGCTGTGTCAGCCCAGTGACACGGATCCTCCTTTTTAAAGGGATTATTCAGACAAGTGCAAAAATAGAGTGGAATTCAGTAGCTTCAGCTGTAGGGAGGAAATGGCTGGGGATATAAAGCCACTAAAATTATCCCTTCATAGACAGGGGCTGGGACCCCACAGCTGATGGGCCTCTTGCCTGTTAAGTTCATTTCCATCCTTAGGGTCACTCCCACGCTGCCCTTAGGTACCCAACACATTTAAAGCTGACTTGCTGGCATTATGTAATGCTGAAATAACAGCACAGTAAGGTCACCAAACTCTGTGGTGCTCACTGTCCCACGGCAGGATTCCTGGAGTTTATTAACTCATAGTCATACTTGTCTCTTTCTTCCTTGCCAAAAGCAAAACCTGCTTGGTAAAGGCCATGGGCAGAAGCAGAGAAGCGGTTTCTCTGCAGACATAACTCTGGGAGCCAGAATGTGCTGGGATCTAGTCTGAACAATGACAGAAGCTGACATCTAGAGAGGGAAGGAGGGGCCTGGGGTGGGCTTCTGGTGCGCCCCGCTTCTGGCAGCCCTTCTTTTTGTTCTCATCCATGTCCCATTTTTTCTCCCCATATCCAGTAGCCCCACAACCCCTTCCCTGGATCTGCAACTCAGAAATCAAGGTTTAAGAGAAAACGGGAGTTGGGCACGTTGGTGCACGCCTGTAATCCCAAGCAGCTTGGGAAGCTGAGGCAGGAGGATCACAAGTTCAAAGCCAGCCTCAGCAACGGTGAGGTGCTAAGCAACTCTGTGAGACCCTGTCTCTAAATAAAACACAAACAGAGTTGGGGATGTAGCTCAGTGGTCAAGTGCCCCTGGGTTCAATCCCTGGTACCCACCCACCCTCCCCCGAAAAAAAGAAAATGGGAAGGGAATTGCCCCTCCTCGTCTACCTCAATCTATTTAAAACTTTAGTCAAGATACCTGCCCTCTCAAGTCTCTTTCCAGCCTCCAAACAGGAGCCCCAGCTCATATTTGACTAGTTACTGGGAATAGGACATAACGAACACTTTTTGTCTTCTGGTATCTTTATCTGAAAATAAACATTGTAAAACCATTCCCTGCTTACCCTGTAGGATTAACGGGCTTGTATAAAAGCAGTTCACCATTCCCAAGTCACTCTTGTCACAAGATCTAATTGAATCCTTTCAACAACCTTGTGAGACAGACGAGGATGCATTTTTATTCTCTTTTATAGATGAAAACTAAGGTTCCCTGAGGACCAAGGATCTGTCCAGCTTGCACAGCCAATCTGTGGCAGAGCTGGGACTCAACCAAGACTGTGTGCACTGTCCCCGTCATGGCCAGAGGTTCATGTGACACAGCATGCTGCTATTATTAAGAAAAGTAGCATTTCTCCCAGTATAATTATAGCTCAAGTGTTTGCCAGTGGATTATTGCTGGTTACTCTGGGCATCCTTGGCAGCTCCGATCTGTCATATCTTAAGTGGGTCATTATGACCTAAGAAGTAGGTGTGGAATTACTAGTCCTGGGGCTAAAACAGGAGGGTTAGCCAAGGAAAAGGATGAGCCTGCGGGTATTTCTGATGCCACCATCCACTGATGGCAATCATACTTTTGCAGGGCACAGTTAACTACAGAGTTTTAGGAAAGTCATAAATTCTAACAATCTCATTTTATGGGTGACAAAACATATATCCAGAAAGGTTATAAGACATGCCCAAGGTCACATGTCTTAGCCTAAGTGGCCAAGCTGGTTCCAGACCCAGGTTTCCTAAATCTAGATCCAGTGCTCCTTCCTTTCTACCTGGTTTCCAGGCTGTTCCTCTAGGGCCATCTGGGGCTTGGCCCTTTGAGTGTGTACACAACTCAGAATCAGCAGGGGAAGAGTAATGGGGGGGATGTGCCAGTGGATCCTTTTCCATATATGACCCCTGAATGAGGGTAGTTCTCTTGGGGATCATCGTCTGTTCAAATGCCAAACCCAAGACACAGCTTTGTCACCATGGGCCAGGACAACCCCACAAATGTGTGTGCTGAGCCTCGTGTTGGGGAAGAGGAATATTACTCACGACTTATCTCGCCTGCCAAGCCTTCTTGGGGGGCTTGCTTGTCTCCTTCGGGGGGACAGGGATTTTCCCCGGGTTCTCACTTGGGTTGGAGAGCGGGCACTTGCAGGCTTCAAGATCTGGAAGAGATATGAGGCATCAACCACACTGTTTCCTAAAGGACCCCCACCCCATATCCTCCTACAGCACAGCATCCCAACCCCCAGCCCACCCATGATCCCACAGTTCAGAGGCACCGACAGGAAGACTTCCAGAGCGACACACATTTCTCCCTGCGCAAGAAGGGCACCGCCTCCCAGAGGGCCATGTGGGTCATCACATCCCCTTTTCCATGGCAGACAGGGGAACTGAGTCAAATGCCTTGCCCTCCTAGGGCTGCTTGGTCTCTTGGTAAGATTCTCCGCTCAGCTGCACTGCCTCAGGGACCAGCATGTTCATCCTCAGAATCTCCCAGCCCAGGTACACAGAGTGGCTGCAGTTTAGCAAAAGCTCCACTCCAGGGCCAACAGAGAGAAGATGACAGGCCCCCAGGTGCTGAACATAACCAAGCCTGAAGTTAGCATAACCTCCACCCCAGGGCTTTAGTGTGTGCAGGGGCTTTTCTGTAGTGACCCCACAAGCCCTGGAGGGACATGGATAAGCTGGCATCAAGTCACTGCAGAGAAACCTGGAAGAGGGAAGAAAGGCTTATAGGTATGTTCTAAGGCCTGCTCAGTGAACACTCCCTCGTTGGCTATTGTGACGCCTGATTAGAATTTTATGTCAAAGGGCTTTGCAATTTAGATGGCAGACTGTGACTCTGAAACACATTATAAGCAGGGAGACCAACTCCTCCTGGTTTCCCTGGGTCTTTCCTGGTTTATTTTGCTTGGGTACTAGGGAATGAACTCAGGGGCACTTCACCACTGAGCCACATCCCCATGCCTATTTTGGTTTCTATTTGGAAACAGGGTCTCACTGAGTTGCTTAGAGCCTCACTTTTGCTGAGGCTGGCTTTGAACTCATGATCCTGCCTCAGCCTCCGGAGCTGCTGGGATTACAGGCATGTGCCACTGCACCCGGCTCCTTTCCTAGTTTTTTTTTTTTTTTAATAATATTTATTTTTTAGTTGTAACTGGACACCATGTCTTTATTTTATTTATTTATGTTTATGTGTGCTGAGGATCAAACCCAGGGCCTTGCATGTCCTAGGTGAGCGCTCTACCGCTGAGCCACAATCCCAGCCCCTCTTTTTCTAGTTTTAATATTGAAAAACCTGTCCTGGAAAACCATTCAGTTCCAAGCACACTGGAACGATTGGGCACCCTATTGTATGGTGAAAACAGAACAAAACTAGAGCTTTAACGTGAAATGACTACATTTTACGTCTGATTTCATAGAAGAAATTGCAGGCCAAGATATTGCTTTAATTTTAAGATCTAATTTGGTTTTCGTTCTGATTTTTGAGAAACAATTGTCCTCTCGATCCTAGAGGGGACTGATTCTAGGAACTCCACAGATTACCAAAATCTATGGTGTAGTATTTGCATATAGCCTACACAATCCTCTCACGTACTTTAAATTACCTGCAATACCTAACACAATGTAAGTACTATGAAAACAGTTGTTACACTGTATTGTTTAGGGAATAATGACAATACACAGGTCTGTATATATTCAGAACAGATGTAATTTTTTCCCAAATATTTTTAATAAGGTTGGTTGAAACTGCAGATGCAGAACCCACAGGTATGAAGGGCTAACTATGTTACAAAGAGAGACTTCAATTATCTTTATCAAGTAATAAATGACTTATATTTCTGAATTTACTAGTGTGACCACCAAGCAAGATAACCTCAGGAAACTTGTGTGACCATCCTAGAAGTTTGAGGCCTGGAGCAAAAGGGGTAGAGGAGTGGGTATGGAGAGAGAGGAAATGGGAAAAAGGCATAATTTTGTGTTCCCAGCACCTACCTTCATTCTCATGTCCCTGGCGTACTTCTCCAGCTCCTTCCTTATGTCAGCCCTCAACATCTTGGAGACATTGAGGACCAGCTGCTTCCACTCAATGGGTTGGAAGCTATGAGGCTCATGGGGGACATACAGCCCAATCTTGACCTTCTTGACTGTGTGCAGGTATTTCTTGTAAGAGTCTTCAAAGTCAAAGATAAGGTCACTCAGAGTCCGAAAGGTCAATGGCTTGTCCATCAGCTCAGCCCTTCTGCTCATGCCCAGTGAGCCATAGCGGCCATTGCAATAAATCCCCAGCACAACATGGTGAAAGTAGTTTCCTGAGAAGTAGGTTTTAAAGCTGATGGGGAATCGCTCGATGGAAGGCTGTCCATTGGTTAAGTATCTTAGACGATTTGAGTCAAGGAGGGAACAAAGGTCTTGAAAATTCACAGAGGACAGAAGAAAGGAAAACAAACTCATAGGGGTCAACGAGCCTATACTTCTGCCTCTGAGCAGGCCGACATCTAAGCTTTCTAGATCTTTTGATAAAGGATCCACTTGATATCTTCAAGTATCAACTAAATGATACATACCAAAGCAGAATTAATATGAGACAAAGAGAACAGCTTGTCATCTTTAGTAATTAAATGGAAAACAAAAAAATGCAAAATGTAACACACAAAGGCACTTTTTCCTTGCTTGGTTCTCTACGGGGGATTAAGAGCTCTTTAAGGTGTCTTTGTTTTTCTTCTTCTTTTATGCAGTCAGAATGATGTGCTAGACTACCTTGTGTGAAATAGACCAAGAATACACTGTAGTCCAAAGTCAGAAATGAAAACCAGAATCCAGGCACTAGAGATGCGAGAGGCAGGCTGGTGGATGATCTAGGTGGCAAGGGCCAGAGAGAAGTCATAAGGGGTCACATATGCACCTCATCTGGTCCTCCCAGGTCCCAGAGTACCCATGCCAGAGAGTACTCCTGGGGTACCATGCAGAGCAGCTGCCTCCACACCCAAATTCCAAGGCTCCTCTCAGTCCCCAGCCAATAGGCAGGCTCTCTCCACTCACTGGCCCATTTGGATTTAGTAACAGTCTCTTACTGTTACCTTGGTTTTGACCTAGCAACTCCACAGGTGCAGCTTCAAATAATGGTCCCACTGCCTCCCTGTACAGAAACGATGGACAAGAGACATTGCATTCTCAAGTCCATCTTGAAATCCCAACCAGTCCTGCTGAGGCTGAGTCCCTCTGCCCAGCTTTTCTGGAGAGGGCTATTGAAAACTCCTCTGAAAGGTGGGGGGATATAATGTCACTCCTCTGCTAAAAAGATTTGGAAAATACTAATCTAGGTGCTCATCACAGAGTCCTGTGCATAGTCAGTGTTCATAGCAGGTGCCATTCTCCGCTCTAAGAATGTGTTTTCACTAATGCTGGCCTCCTCTCCAATTCCATGCAGTGGCCAGAATGACCTATTTAAGTCAAAATTTGGTATATGTCACTCTTCCACTTAAAAGTTTTCAATGACTCATCTTCTCCAGAACATAGTCCACACATCCTGCCATGATTTGACCCCTGCTCATTACTCCTTTATACAATCCCATTTTCCCCCTAGCTACAACACTGATGGACAGGAGGGCCCTTGATAGTTCTGGAGAATTCTCTCTGAGACAATACACAGATGGATGCCCATTGCCCCTAGTGCAACGATTCTCTCATAATATGAAGTCAAATATAACCAAACATTTAGATGACTTTTGAAGGATCTTTCCAATACATGATCCTTTATATTATAGAGCTGGGACAAAATAATATCATTAAAAAAAATTAGACAAACTCTACACTGCATTGAATTTTTATTGCAGTAATAACTTACTTTTTGGCTTCACTTACACACCAGTCATATACTGTGGGGGATTCAAACCTGGCCAAGATCTTTGGGATCTCGTGGGAATCAGGATAAGAGGCTGTGGACATGTGTCCTCTGCTCCCAGGGTTCACACAGGCTGAACACCCGCCTGGAGACAGCCTCACTGCTCTGCCCTCTCTCCCTTCCTGAGGGTTGCATTTCCCCTTACTTGATCCCTCCACATACAAGAACTCATGCAGCACTTGGTGCTTACCCATCCTGCACTCTAACTGGATCTTGAGAGGGCAGCAGTTGTGTCTGGCATCCATTAACCCCTGGGCACAGCATAGGCCTGGCACACAGAAGGTCCTGTTCAATGCTTGCTCAAAGAACGAACCTTAGATTGGGAGGATACACTTCCTAACATTTAAGAGGACAGCACTCAGTGGGGGCTGATCTCATGTGCCCTGAAAAAGAGGAAGTTGACAGAACCCAGCCCTCAGCCAGAGGACAGCCTTGTCCTCTGCCCTCAGTTTAATCAGATGGCTCTTCTGTATAAAAATGTTCACCTGCTTTCTCTTTACTTCATCATGTGAGGTCACTGGCAGTAAGAAAGTGAAGTCACGGCCTCTGAGTCTCTCACATAAACTCCTGCCTGCTTTCTGGGGTGAGTTCTCTGAGGCTAGAATGAGGGCATTCTTCAGTTATTGAAGTCACTGTAAAAAAACCACTGTCAGTAAGTGCGCCCTGTGCCTGTCGGGCTGCTAGGTAGGGCTGTGGAGCCAAAGATGAAGAACACAGCCTTCTCTGGAAATCTGGTGGGAGGCAGACTCAAAATGGATATGAGGAAATCAAATAATAAAACAGAATAACCAGGGCTGGGGCTGCAGCTCAGTGGTAAAGTGCTTGCCTTGTATGTGTGAGGCACTGGGTTTGATCCTCAGCACCACATAAAAATAAATAAAGATGGGCTGGGGATGTGGCTCAAGCAGTAGCGCGCTCGCCTGGCATGCGTGCAGCCTGGGTTCGATCCTCAGCACCACATACAAATAAAGATGTTGTGTCCACCGAAAACGGAAAAATAAATATTAAAAAAAAATTTTTTAATAAAAATAAAAAATAAATAAATAAATAAATAAAGATATCATGTGTCCATCTATAACTAAGAAAATTTTTTAAAAAGTTAAAAAACAAAACAAAACAGAATTAACATATGATCCAGCAATTTCATTCTGGGTATATACCTGTTACGACTGTCACCCCAAAGCTTATTAGATTATGAGAGCTGTGACCTAATGAGTGGATTAGTCCATTTGATGGATGAATAATTTGAAAGGACTATGGACCTGCATGGTAACTGTAGGCAGGTAGGGGTGGCCGGAGGAAATAGATCACTAGGGGTCCCTGGCACCTCTCTCCCCTCTCTCTCTCCTCTCTCTCTCTCCTCTCTCCCCTCTCTCTCTCTCTCTCTCTCCTTCCTGGCTGCCATGAGCTGAGCAGCTTTCCTCCACCATGTCTTGCCTCACCTGGGGTCTAAAGCAATGGAGCTGGCTAGCCAGGTTCTGAACCCTTGAAACCATGAAACCATGAAACCAAATATACTTTTCCTCCTCTAAATTGTTGCCAAGTAGTTTGGTCTCAGCAATAACAAGCTGACTGATATCAGTTAGTCACGGTACCCAAAAGAACTGCAACCAGGGTTTCCAGACATCTGTACCCTGAGGCTCACAGCAGCATTAGTCATAATAACCAAAGTGGAAATAATCCAAACGTCCACCAATGGATAAATGGATAAACAAAATGTAGTATCTGTATGACAAACAGTATTATTCATCCTTTAAAAAGAATGAAATCCTGGGCTTGGAGTTAGCTCAATGGTGGAGAGCTTGCCTAGCATGCATGAGGTCCTGGGCTTGATTACTAGTAGCCAAAAAAAAAAAAAAGAAAAGAAAGAAAGAAATCTTGTAATATGCTAAAACATGATTAAACACTTGCAGATATGATGCCAAGTAAAATAAGCCATACAGAAAAGGACAAAATCTGTATGATTCCATTCATCTGAAGTGCCTAGAACAGTCAAATTCATAGACAAAAGGCGGATCCTGGTTGCCAGGGGCTGGAAGGAGGCAACAAGAGCTGTTTAATGGGTGTGCAATTCCAACTAGGGTGATGAGAAAGTTCTGGAGATGAATAGTAACAATGTCACACAAGATTACAGATAGACTTAATGTCACTGAATTATATATTTGAAAATAGTTAAGATGGTTAACTTTGTTATATGTGTTTTACAATAATAAAACAAGACCAAAACATGGTGTGATACCTGCCGTAAGAGAGGCAAGCCCAGTAATCTGTGAGTGGACAGAAGTGGAGCCTCAGCACAGCAACACTGGAATTAGTCTTGGAGGACAAGTAGTCAGCTAGGTAGGGAAGTGGGAGTGGGGAGGAGACAGGAGAGACCACTAGACCATCCTATCACAAGTCTCCGATCTCCAGGATTTGTTCCATCATTATGGCAGTCAGCGAAGCCTTGGGTGAGAGTAGGGAAGCGGCCAGAGTTTTTTCTTGGGAAGGAAAACAGCAGCACCCAAACATCTGGATAATCTCCTAGCACCTTGTGTCTGGGGAAATGCTGAGGCTACCTCTCATATCGCACCTGTAACTTTCACAAACCATGGTTCTTTAGCACCATGAGCAAGCCTACCACAGTCGGTGAAGCCCTCTGAAATTGTTGCTATAATTCAGAAAATAATTTAGAACTAAAGATCTATGTATCCAGCATTCATGCATCTTGTGCTTCAGCAAGATTAAAAAAAAAAAAAAAAAAAAGTGGCTCTTCGGGAGAAAATCCTGAACTTGAGAAAAAAGTACAAAAAGAAAACAAGGCAGAGAAGATCAAGGGACACAGGCTTCTATGCAGCCAAATAGACAGCTTCTGAGTCATCCAGGTCTTTTCCTGGACCTGCACAAGGGTCTGCGGGAGACACAGGTGATGCCCAAGCCATCCTTCACTATCCCTGAGGGCAAAGCAGGACACAGGGATGCTGACGCACAGCAAAGAGAAGACAAAGATGCTGCAACTTTTAGAATTTAGGTCTGTGTTTCTTGTCTGCGTCCCAGAGTCAGATTTCACTGAGTTCAGCAGTGTGAGCTCAATCTCTCCACCCTCCCCACCTTCCTTGGGCTGTTCTGAAATGTAACACGGATAAGAACAAAGGAAAAGCAAAAGTACAGGCCCAGAAGTTTTGTCACAGATCTATTCCCTGCAATCCCCAAAGATTGCAGATAATTTCAGTTGCAAGGAGCTTAGATGCAGAAAACTGTGCAGGAGTGTGTGTGTGGGGGGGGGAAGGGTGGATAACTATATGCAGGTGCACTTAGATGTCCAGCAGCAGAGCCTGAGGTTAGCTCATCCATCCAGAAAAGGGCCTGGGCTGGTGTTCTTCACTGATCTCCAGCAGATCCCTGGCCAATTGTTCGCCCCTATTAAACTTGCAAGAGGCTCTGCTAAACAGCTGTGGCTCATTCCTGCCACTAAGAGTTGGGGCCCTCAGCCATCTGTTGCCCTGACCCTCAGCCCTGGCCTCCTGCTGCGCTCCCCAGGCACACATTTCATCTCCTTTGTGGGAAGTTGGAAGCAGGCATCATTGCATAGCTGGGGAGGGGCCTCCAAGAGGCTCAAGTTTCTGGGTTGTTTTTTTTTTTTTTTTCAGAAGTCAGCCAAAGCACCTGTGCACAATCTGGATTCAGATCAGACCTGCGGGTGCTCCACAGACAGCAGAAGCAAGAAATTCCTCCTCCCATGACAATGTCCAAAGACCAAGAAAATAGACTAGACCAATCCCTTGTCCTGCTGATTGCTAGAGCTCCTTTCTCTTATGCCTTTCCTTTGACCTCTCTGACTTCCCCTCTTGAGTCTCTCTCATAAGTTCTTTGCATCCAACTAGAACAAAAAATACTGAGATTTTTGTCCTTGATCATTTTCTCTTCTAACGTCTTGAACAGCAGCTACAACCCCCCCTCCAAATATCCCAGCTCCCAAATCAGTATTTCTAGTGTAGACTCTCCTGGTGAGCTCCACTCTCCAAACAGCCCATCCTGCATCCTGAATTCAATGCCTCAAAATCAGCTAGTCCAAATCTGAACTCAGCTCCCCATAAATCTGATCCTTCCCTCTAAGTCCTTCCCTTGGTGTGTGACCCTATTTATTATGCAAGCCAGAAATATAGGGTTTCTGCTTTCTCATTTAGCTCTTCACTTCTCAGCAGTTCGAAAGTGTTGATTCACTTCCAACCCCTTTCCTCCTCCTTCATTGCTACTTCCTGAGTTCAGCTCTGCACTGAAGTGAAGTATCCACTTCTCTGTCACCCTCACCCCTCCAGCCCATCCTCCACACACTGTCACCCAATCAGGAAACCTGTGATTGTTGATTCCTTATTAACTCCTGCATCCCTCTGGTCTCCAAGTTCTGTACATTCTGCCTCCTTACCAATTCCTGAAACCATCCCCTCAACTCCATTCCTATCACCAGGGCCATGGTCCAAACATCACCCTTCCCTCCTGTAATAGCTTCCAATGGGCTTTGCAGATCCAGTCCCAGCCTTCTCCAACTGTCCTTTTTCAGTCTATCCTTTAGAAGGCTACTCTCACCTGGCACACGCTTGTAATAGTAGCAGCTCAGGAGGCTAAGGCAGGAGGATCACAAGTTCAAAGCCAGCCTAAGCAATTTATGGAGACCCTGTCCTAAATTTAAAAAAGGACTGGGGATGTGGCTCAGGGGTTAAGCGCCCCTAGAACCAAATAAAATAAAATAGAAAGCTATTGTCTAAAAAGTATATATGATCATGTCACTTCTTTGCTTCAGAGTTTCCATCTGAGCTGTCTACTTCCTTTTAGGAAAAGATAAATTCTCAGTACAGCACACAAGGACCCAACTGGTTTCCCCCAACTCTCAAGCTCATATCTTCCTCTGTTTCCTTTGCCACCATCCCTTCCAGCTATCCACCCAGAGAACTTGGAGTTTCTTTGCTCTTCTATCTGATCATATTCAATTAACATCAGCACCAATAAGCGCCATCACGGTTTTTCTGAACTGTACTCCTCTCAGGTTGAAGAGCCAAGAGTGTGGTGGAAAATGGAACAGAAAGTGTGAGAGAGACCAGACCCTTGTGCCAGCTGTGTTCCATCAAGTGGGAACACACTGCCTCTGCTTGGTCTCCTCCACAATCTGCCATTACGTTTTCCTTGGAGACAGGTTTGGCTACTAGCCCCCTTGTTATTGATTCCACTTTCCCTTGAGTGTTTTTCCTGTGACAATGTCAAATTAATGCAAGAAAGAATCATATTCTCTTTCTCTCTCTCTCTAGTCCCTCTAAGTTAGAATTCTCCTTGTGACCAGGGAACCTGCAAACCACTGGCCTGAGAGCCAGCCCTCATAGAAGCTAGAGCTAACAGTTTTGACTACTGTTGGTCTAAGAAGCCAAGCATTGATTTGGTTCAACTCCCAAAGTAAAAGCTAAAGAGAAGCACCAGAGTTTGATCCCTTCATTCAAAGAGAAATGGGCATCATCTTTGTTAATTAAGGATGTTGAAGGCGCAACAAGCCCCATACTTAGGTCACCATCTGTGCAGTAACTATAAGCATACATAACTTCAAGGATACATGCCCAGGATGACAGCTTCAAGGCATTTGATAGGTAAGGACTCTCGAGTCATTTCTTTTGCTGTTTCCATTAACCTGTAGGATAGAACAAAGCAAAGGATTCTCAGGACTTAATTATGCAGTAGTCAGTCTGACTGTCAATCCATCAGCATGCCTGTCTCTACCCTAGGCACCATGCAGGAATATAGGGGAAAGAGAGAGCTTGATTCACAGGAAGACATCAGAGCGTATCTGCACTTGGCAGAACTAAAACCCTCAATTCTCCACTCTCTTCTCCAAGAGTTACATCCCGGAGGTGAGTACCAGTATTCCATGGCACATTCCCAATGGAACAGGCAAATGAGGCCTCAGAAAGTGAATCTTATAAGCTTCCAATGCAGAGAGTCAGACTTCACCACTAGACATAGCACCAGAGTGGCTCAGTCCTCAGCCCCACCTTCAACCTGGGCCCAGGAGCACCCTCTACATATACCCCCAACTGATTAGGATATCTGAGCACCAGGATATAGGACTAGAGGTTGGGAGAGGGAATTGGCAGCTCTTTTTGATAGGAGAGAGAGACAGATCATGCACCACTTACCCACTCAGAGGTCTCATTTTCCTAATTTCAAAGAACTGGGTCCCTGTGTGATTATATCTGTGTAAAGTATGTAAAGGAAAAGTGACAGAAAACTCCAAAGATCCCAGTCACCCAGCAGAGGAAAATATGCATTCTGATTTCTCAATGGGGTTAAACAGCAGGAGCTTTTCAGAAATAGACAGTAGCCAGTAGCCTCTAATTCTTCACTGTCCTGTCATAAAGTTTAATCTAATTTTTAACTTAGGCCTCAAAGCACCTTGAACCTTTGTAATAGCTCTGTTAAATTCTGTTTAGTTTTATACACACACACACACACATACATACACACACACACACACAATCTTAATTTACCTACTAGACTACAAGTTCTTTGAGAGTTGGGACTGTTCTTTTATCATCTTTATATCCCCATAAAGCTTGGCAGAAACCCAACATACTTAAGTTAGCAAATTTTATTAAATGACTAAGGAAGAAGTGAATGAATAGGTGAATGGAGAGATTGATGAAGAGATGTCAGTAGAGAAGGGTGAAATGGAAGGATGCACGGATGGAAGGATGAAAGATGGATGGAAAGATGGAGGAATAGGTGGAATGGAAACATGGATGGATGGAAAGGAAGATGGATTCAGATGGATGGATGAAATAGAATGAAGGGTAAATAAATGGCAATAAGTTTTTTAATTGCACACAGAATGCAACAGAGTTTACTCTAGAAACATCACTTTCTTTTCATGGCTGCACGGATACTTGACATTGATTACTAAACCTAAAAAAATGGCACCACTATCCACACCTAGAATTTAGCCAGCTACCCAGAAGTTCCCAGGGACTGGTAAACCTGCACCAGGTGACTCTGGAGGAGATCAATGATTCCCTAATGTTCTCTGAGACTGGATCTTAATTCTTCTCACTCTATAGAAAAATTGCTTAGTGTTTTTGGCTCTTTTGCCTCAAACCAAATCATAGAAAAAGTGCATGTTGGGAGGGCACTAAGGAAGCAGGAATACGTAGAGCTACTGCAGCCCAGGAAGGACTTGTGGGACGGATGCACCCCTGAGTGAAAAAAGCAGCTGCAGAGGAGACACTTCACAACCTCCTGAGAGGGGCTGGGGTCCCATCCAGCACAGTGTGTTTGGCCTCTAGGACACAGGCACACGTGACAACCATCTGGGGAGCTCAAAAGCAGACTCTAGGCACCAACCCTGGAAATTGTGATTTCAGGCCATGCCTCTTAACCATAGTTGCCATTCAAAGTCACCCTAACTCAGATCACTGAGTTCAGAGCTGCAGGGTGTGGGGCAAAGGACAGTTTTCACGAACTCACCAGCTTGGGAGTTACTGACTAGGCTGTGAGATTAACCACGAACAATACAGGCTTGGTGGCATTTCTGAAAATACCATGTACAAAATATTAGAGGTAAAAGAGAAAATGAGGGACTAAATATTCTCATTCTAAAGTGATTTTTTTTACTTGAACCAAAGATTTACTCAAAAAGTGGGGTTCCCATTAAATATAAAGAATTTGATTGGCAAAAACATTCAGCTATATGCTCAATGTTCCCTGTTTATATATTTCATGTATACATCCAGTACATAAAGTAAGATAAACTGATAATTAAATAATGAAAAACTACCTGACCACCCTTCTCTCAGTTCTTTACAATGGATAATTGAGACCCTGAAAGTGAATGGGTGGAAATAGTCTCCCCAGCACACTCTCTGCAGAGGAAGGTATTCATTCTTCCCTGTGCTCCTCAGAAGATTTCTCTCCATCTACCACAGCCAGTGAGGCACCTTTCTTTCTAGAATCCCATGCAAAATCAGCACACCAGTTGGCTGCCACTTGGAGGCTGTATCAGGGGAAGACAGGATTCATTTTTTCATGACTCCACAGCCAGCTGAGACCATCTATAGTCATGTCTAGACCCAAGCAATTCCCAGAACTGACATCTGCTACAGGGTCCAGGCCAAAGTAGTAGGGGGTCCCAATGAACTGAACCAAAATCAGGTCAGAAAAAGAAGTCCATGCTTGGGCTGGGGATGTGGCTCAAGTGGTAACGCGCTCACCTGGCATGCGCGGGGCACTGGGTTCGAGCCTCAGAACCACATAAAATAAAATAAAAATGTTGTGTCCAACAAAAACTGAAAAATAAATATTAAAAAATTCTTTCTCGGGGCTGGGGATGTGGCTCAAGCGGTGGCGCACTCGCCTGGCATGTGTGCGGCCCGGGTTTGATCCTCAGCACCACCTACAAACAAAGATGTTGTGTCCGCCAAGAACTAAAAAATAAATATTAAAAAATTCTCTCTCTCTCTCTCTCTCTCTCTCTCTCTCTCTCTCTCTCTCTCTCAAAAATTCTTTCTCTTAAAAAAAAAAAAAAAAAGTCCATGCTTTGCTTTCCTGGCGTGATGGCTCCAAAGGCCAGGAGCACATCCCGATAGCCCCATGGTGATTTCTCTTGCCCTCTCTGCCATCAGTGACCTTCTTCAATTGACCATCATAGAGGTTCAAAGAAAAGAAAAATTAAAATGCAGATCCTTCAGGGCAACAATGAAACTTAGCTGAGCACATGCTGCAGGGCTTAAGGGAGCATGGGCAAGTGCTACACAAAGCACATACAATTTGCCCCCGTCAATGCCATCCCAGCCCAGGCTCATTCTCTTGCCTCTCTGGCTTGGTGATCCTTGAGAGGACTAAGTCCTAGATAGAAATAGAAGCCATACTCATTTGTCATCTTTTGGAATATTTGATGAAGAGTGGGTCACCTTTGAAAAGAATCAGCTCTTGGGATTCAGGTCTACTCTGGCAGGAGTTTGTGCTTCTGGACTATAAAGGACTCCCCATGGGGGGTCCAATTTGTGGATCAGCAACCATACCCATAGTCTTCCCAGGGCCAGAACTGTTGACCTCCCTCTCTGGAGGTTGCTTCCACCTTCTCCTGCTAATATCACTGCAGGACTCCACTGAGAAAATGTCACATGGGGGAGCTGGTGATCCATGAAATGGGAACTAAGGCTAATCAAGTAATCTCTCTACCTAAATGAGCAGAAATTGGAGTTATTTCCATCTGGTAACACTCCCTATGGGAGAAGTGCTGATGTTTCATCCCTTTAGAGGAGACCCAAAAAAATTCACCATAATACAGAGAAGAGGAGGCTCTTCTGGAGTATGTTGGACAGGTGCTTGGTGCTTTCTGAAGTCCTTTTGGCCTCAAGGCTGGGTATGAACCGACAAATAGAAAGCAAAGTAATGTGACTGGGTTTTGCAGCACAGGCTAAGTTTCATGTCTATGGAGAAAGGGCAAGGGTCAACAGAAGCTTGGCCTCCCGGACAATGTGCTGTGGCCTGCTCCCCATTGGACACCTATGCTTGGTAAAATCCCAGAAGTGTCTAGGGGACCATCACTTCTGCCCCTTCATTCCCACAGTGTTGCTCATGAGGAGCCCTCAGAGCTGATCTAATCTTGATTGTCAACAAGCCGAAGACATGGAGATCAAAAAAATCTAGCTGGTCTGAACCAGCCTGGGCCCACAGGGTTCCTCAGCAATTCTTCAAGCTCAAGTCGGGAACAGGGGCCCCACTACAGAGCCCCAACCAATTTATGCAGAATCTGAGCAAGGTCACCAGCCTGGGTTGCTGCGGGAGCTCAAAGCAGCATGGGGTAGGTCTCTTGAGATCACGAGTGGCCAGAGACCAAGGCAAATAAGTGAGAGAAGAAATAAAAGAAAAAGAATAGGGGGAAAGGGGAAGAAAGTCAGTTGTGCAGTAGAAGAAGAGGGGAAAGCAAGTGACCAAGAGGAAGGAAGCAGAGAAAGAGAAGAAGATGTAAGGAAGAGGGGAATCTCACGGAGAGCCCAGGAAAGGGGAGGGAAAAAAGAGAAGCCAGAGGGTCTGGCTCACTGTCCCCTTGCTGTCCTTGCCCACATCCTGCTTAAGGAAGAAGGGCTGGTCATTGCAGTTACATCCTCTGTTATCATTTTCAGACTCTCATCTGGGGCCTTCCTGTATGCTTCACCAGCCTTAAAGACCAACTGGGGACAGACATGACATCAGACTTTCAATCCCCAGACCCCCAGCCAGGTCCACTCAGATGCCAGATGGAAGGATACTGTAGTGTCTTCATGTAATTCTGGATTGCCTGCAGCCAGTCTGGAATCGTCATCGACAGCCTGTAGTTTGGGACCTGGGGTATTGAAGGCTGTAGAGAAATAGAGAAGGATCTTTTTGTTGAGGAGACAGCTTCTGGGGGCAGGCGTAGAGCTATAACTACCAGAGAAGGAGCTGCTCCGGAGAGCAGATAACCACCCTGGCATGGTCACTTGTTCCAAGGGTGCCTCCTCCACAAGGTCTCCCCAGAATTGCCAGTGCATCATGGAAGTTCTCCCTCTATACATACTCTCTTCTGGGTCATGGGGGCTCCCCCTGTGGGAGGCCTCTCCCGTGGGAGCCTAAGCACCTCCTTGATACCAGGGGCCATATACTCCCCACTGAGCCTGGCCCAGGTGGACACAGAAGTGCTCCATTCATGGCCACACTTTTACTGTAAAACACTTTTTTTTTTTTTTTTTTTTTGGTATCAGGGACTGAACTCAGGGTAACTTGACCACTGAGCCACATCCCCAGCCCTATTTTATATTTTATTTAGAGACAGGGTCTCACTGAATTGCTGAGCACCCACTTTTGGTGAGGCTGGCTTTGAACTAGCGATCCTCCTGCCTCAGCCTCCTGAGCCCCTGGGATTACAGGCGTGCGCCACCACGCCCGGCACATGACACTTTTTGTTGCACGGCTAATGATGACCCAGTTTATGGGTCATCACTCCAGGTCATTATTTACACAGAATGCAGGTACAGGGTGCCCTACAACATAGTGCTAAGGGCCCCGTTCTCAATATACTTCCCTGTAACACCCGTTGTATTCTGTCCCCTGAGTCTCACAACCAAGTGGATTCAGAAAGATTCCTTTTCTTGCCTTGATTCTTCCTGGACAAGTGCAGCTCCTCTGACTCATAATCCATGGAAAGGAAAACAGCAGCACTCCAAACCTCTGGATAATCTCCTAGCACCCCGTGTCTGGGGAAATACTGACGCTACCTCTCATATCACACCTGTAACTTTCATAAATCATAGTCCTTTAGCACCATGAGCAAACCTACCATACTTGGTGAGGCTCTCTGAAATTGTTGCTATAATTCAGAAAATAATTTAGAACCAAAGATCTATGTATCCTGAATGCATGTAAAAGTATGTATGTGTGCTTCAGCAAGATAAAAAGAAGTGGCTCTTCGGGAGTAAATCCTGAACTTGGGCTTTTACCCAGAGGACATCCCAGCCAATTTTGTTTCCTAGTTTACCTTTTGGTCAACACTCAAGTATATGAAGTTCTAACCCCTGCCAGGGAGAGAAAGGACCAAAGGCAGGCAAGGACTGGAAAGGGGAAGGAAAGTGCGTCTCCTGGGAAATTTAGAGCTAAGACGCCCACTCAGCTCTGAGCAACCCTGTCAAGGAGGCCAAGAGCAAGAATAAACAGAGATGTCCAATTAAGCGACTCCTGGGAAGCAAGGAACAACATATGGGCATGGTTTTGTCTTGTTTGCATGTTAGATTTCTTTTGGCACTGGGAATTGAACTCAGGGGCACTCGACCACTGAGCCACATCCCCAACCCTATTTTGTATTTTATTTAGAGACGAGTCTCACTGAGTTGCTTAGCACCTTGCTTTTTGCTGAAGCTAGCTTTAAACTAGTGATTCTCTTGTCTCAGCCTCCTCAGATGCTGGGATTACAGGGTGCCTGGCATGTTAAGATTCTGCTTTGGTTTGGTTTTGTTTTATTCCCCATTATGTGTCTCCTTGCCTCTGCTGTCTGGTGGGGTAGAGTCATTGGTGAGAGGAACTAAGGACCCAGGAAGGAGAAAGGAGGTTCCTTAGCCTCTTAGGAAAAAGTAGAACTGGTTAAAAGAAAGATAGTCCCATCCATGGAGAAACAGGACCAGGAAAGCCCTAGGAGAATACTAAGCAGATAGAAGGGGAAGTTGCTGGTAAAGAGATTCAAGGACAGCCCTGGGCAGCCTGGCTGGGCAGCAGAGCCAGATGTCGCCTAGGACATTCCTGGCTGTTTCCCTGACAAGTTCCTATGGGGCAACAGGCTCTTTCCATACTTCTGCCCCTTTGGCTACATTTACTGCAAATGTGCCTTAACCTTCATTTCCGATCTTGCCTCTAATCTATCTTGGCCTTGAGACATCCTACTTCACAGCCAGTGTTCCTTCAGCTGAAAGTCACACTTTCTACCTCACAGTTAAGGATTATGTGTGAGTTCTGTGTGTGTGTGTGTGTGTGTGTGGTGTGGCTAAGTGGCAGTACTTGCAAACACAACTGTTATGCAAGCTACATTTTCTTTACAACATCTCAACTCAAATGAATCACATTCCTGCCTGAGAGAGTTATTTTGAGGAGCAAATGTTTCAATTTGAACACACACACACACACACACACACACACACACACACACAGAGTCAAAATAAGAAGTGAGCAGGGTTCAGTGGTACATATCTGTAGTCCCAGCTACTTTGGAGGCTGAGGCAGGAAGATCTCTTGATCCCAGGAGTTCAGTGCCAGCCTGGGCAACATAGCAAGAATCCATCTCAAAAACAAAAACAAAAAAACAGGCAGGGCTGGTGATGTAGCTCAGTGATAGAGCACATTCCTTGCACTAGTGAGGCTCTGGGTTCCATGCCTAGTATCAACAAAAAAAGGGTTAGGGAAGAACACTTGCATTTCTGCTCAACAAACACCAGGAAGTGTCAAGCTTATCCCTGTTTTTGTTTTGGTTTCTTTTCAGAAACATCTGCAAAAACCCATACCTGAAATTCTGGGTTAAAAAAAAAAAAGTGCCAGAAATTTCACAGAGAAGTAAAGAAAGAAGGGGAGATTTGAACAAACATTTTCTTAGCATCTCCTATGTCCCAAGCTCTAGGCCAGATACCGAGGGGACAGGAAGCACAGGAGCAGAGGAAGGGAGGAGGGAAATTACAGTTTATGAAGCCATGAGCATTTCTCCACAGGCAAGTGCTGTTTGTACCTACTTCATGGAAAAGTTGGTAAATGTGGGGAAGTGGGAGGGTAAACCTCTTGGCCAACTGTGCACGGCCCGTGACATGGTTCAGAGTTCGCTGCAGGGCTGACCACCAAATTATTTCAACTCCCCTGAAGCTCCACAGGCTGAACGGTGGGGGTGGGAGTCAGGCGACAGCTGGTCCTCAGAATAACAGCCCAATGGCGCCCAAGGGCTTTTCAAGACAGCTGCATGGTTACCTCCGCCCGCCCGGCTGTGAGCAGAGTCCTAGGGCTGCGGCCACATTTGCTCCCAGTCGGGAGGACAAATGTAGACACATTCCCCAAACCCAGACTAGGGAGCTGAGCTGTGGTGGGGAGAGGAGCAGAGACTGCTGCGGGGATGATGTCATCGGCTACAACTCACCCGATGTCTGGGAGAACTGGCGGGGGCTCAGACTAGGGGGGCAGTTCCCAGCTGGTGCCTTAGGCTGCCAGGGTTCCCACGGGACCTGGACTATAAGGCTGGGTGGGCTCTTTGGGGTGCTATCACAGGACCCACAATCAGTTTCAAATCTCTGCTGTCACCTACCAGCTGTGGACCCTGTTTGGAGCTGCATGACCTCTCTAAGTCTCCACTTTTCTTCCTGATAACAGAGGAATCATATCATTACCTGTTTTAAACCTTCCAGGCTGGTTGTGAGGTTTACATGAGCTAATGTGTAAACATTCAAAGGTGTTCAACTGCCATGACTCATCAACCACAGGTTCTCAGGGGTCTAGACCAGGGAGGCCGGTAGAGTCTGCACCTTTCTAGAACTTGAAAACAGAATCAGCAGGGGCCTGAATTCTCAAGACACTCAGAACTTGGAATCACGAAGATGCCTTCTCACCCTAATGGAAGATGAAAACACCCACATTCCCCTGGGGATGCATGGCGACAATAAATTAATATCCTTAATTCATGAAGAGTTCATACAGAACGATAAGAAAACTCTTTAGGCCTCAATGGAAAAAAATAGAGCCCCCACAAGATGGAAGCAACACAAGGGTCTATGGATGAATGAAAGGAATACGCACAATGTTGCACGTACGTACCGTGGATAGTTATTCAGCCTTAAAAAGGAAGGACATTTTAGTACATGCTAGAACATGAATGAACCTTGAAGACATTTGGTAGGGGAATAACCTTGTCATAAAAGGGCAAATGTTGAGCCAAGTATGGTGGCACATGTCTGTAATCTCAGCCACTTTCAAGGCTGAGGCAGGAGGATTGCTAATTCGAGACCAGTTTCAGCAATTTATTGAGACCCTGACTCAAAATTAAAAAAAATAAAATAAAAAGAACTGGCAATTCGTGGTAAAGCTCAGTGGCAAAGCTCTCCTAGGTTCAATCCCCAGTACTGGGGATGGGGGGGAAGCCGGGATATTGTATAATTTCTTTTGAATGAGGATTATAGAGTTGCCTGATTCATAGGAAGTAGAGACTGCCAGAGGCTGGGTTGAGAAGGAGATGAGATGATCATGTTTTTAATGTGTACTGGTGTCTATGGAGGAAGATGAAAAAGTTTTGGAGACGGATGGCAGTGACATGAATGTACTTATTGCCACAGAACTGTGCACCTTGAACGGTTAAAATGGTAAATTATGTTCTATAGGCTTATCACAATAAAAAGATCACAAAAAGACAACTTGCAAAAGAAGAAATGCAGAAGGAATAAATATTTGAAAAAAACATTCAAGCTCGCTAATAATTTAAGAAATGCAAATCGAAGTCCCTGCAAAATGTCATTTTCCTCTTCCCTAGATAACAAAGACATTTTGAAATGCAAATACCCAATGCTGGTGAGGATGCTCTCACCCAGCAATAATGGAACATAAATTGGTGCGACCTTTTCAGGAAAAGCCCAAGGCACATGGTTTTTCTTCTCCCTGACTGGGGTCCGAAGGGTCCTTCCTCATGCTGTTTCCTTGCCAGATTTCATCATACTCCAACTTTGATTTTCCATGGCTCTTTCCCCCCAGGGTCTCATATCCTGCCACCTACATCCTGCTCAGCAAACCACAGCTGAGTTGATGAAGGCAGAATCTAGAGGGAACAGCTCAGAACTAACCTCGCCACAGACAAGGGCCCTGGGAGGTTTAGTGGACAGGAAAGAGGGGAAGGGGAGTGGGCAGGAAAACTGTTGTTCAAGAAGAAGAAGAATGAGACAAACCATAGGCAAGACTTTTGCAGACAGCCTCTCTTCGACTCCATTCTTGCCAAACACAATCTGTCAGGAGAAAGCAAGGGGAAGGGATGTGGATGAGCACAGGTGTGTAGCTGGCACTATCATGGTGGAGAGAGAGGGGGAGGCCAGGAAAGGAGCCAGAGAGGCAGCAAGAGGCCCAGGCACTAGCAATCTTTGACAAGAATGAGTAGTAAGCAAAGGCTTTTGTCTTCCCTGCTCTGAAAAATATACTGCACAGGCACCAGGCAGAAGAATCTTCCTGGCAACTGGGGAGAAGCAGCACAGAGCAATCAGCACCCATGATCTCAGGGTGCGGCCCAGGGCTCTGCATCAGGAGCAACCTTAAATTTGTTGATGGTGGCTTGGTACAGAGGTCCTGGGGTCACAATCTTGGGCAGAGCAGGGTGCACAGACAAGACAGACAGTTCTGAATCCAGGGCAGAGGAGGGAATTAACTGCCCGTGTGAGGCCTCTGGGGGCCGACGTAGCAAAGTCTCAAGTCCCAAGAACTCAAACTTGTTGGCTGAGGCAAAGCTCAGACCTCTAAACATGAATTCTTTCCCGGTTTAGAATCAATGTGAGAATGAGAAACAAACGTGTGAGGGCTGCAAGAAACACCGGATGTTTCCTGCTGAATCCATCTTGGTTTCCTGCCTGAGTGGGGCCAGCCCCAGGCAGACAGAAGTGCTAGGAGTGCTTCCACTTTCTCCTCCCCTGCCTTCCCATCTTCTAGAAACCTCCAAATGATTCTTGTTGTTTCCTTCATTCTGTCCCACTGTCTCACATGTGGAACACGTATAAATACATAAATTGAGCAAGAATTATACCACTTGTAGTAACTCTGAAATAATTATTATGCTCACAGAATTGAAGACTTCAGAACTCAATGGCTCAAACTATCCCTGAAAAACCTTGGATTTGACCTGTTCAAGTGCTAACTTCAGACTCAGCAACTACCAGAGAAGAGGCCTGTAGTCACAAATTTGGAAGAAGGATCTCAGTGAACACTCTTCTTTCCCTCAAGAGGAGACATCTGGACTCTCAGGCAGAGCTGACCATGGCCACTAATGGAACGTCCTGTAGACAGGAAGGCTCTGTCATTCATTCCTCCTCCTAGGCCCTTGAAACCTTTCCCCGTCCACTTCTTTTTGCTTGTTAGTGCATCTTCAATTGCAAAACAAAATAGTTAAATGCCTTGAAATTCTCCGACCTTTCTCCACAACCACTACCCTACCACTGTTCTTTCATGCTTCAGGGGGACTTTGATTTGCAGGAAGGAGGAAAGGACTTGGCCCCAGAGGAGAGTCTGCCAAGTTAAGCACAGGAAATTGCCCCTGATCCAAGAGGAGCACAGGAGCTTTTGACATCATTCCCATGTCAGAGACTGGGCAGGGGTCAGGGTTTGCAGAAAGGTGGGCCCAGGGAGATACCATCTGACCACTGAAGATAGAGAGCCAAGCATTAAGAGGTAAGGCTGAGAGAGAGAAAAATGTTAAGCCCTTTCCCTAGGTTCAAAGACCAACTGCCCGAATTTGGGCTGGCAGAGTCCTGGCTTAACTGCAGTTTCCATGTTCTTATAAAAGTACAGTAATGATGCAGCTGACATATAAAAAAAGGAACATTCTGAGCCAGGTGCCTGTAATCCCAGCAACTCGGAAGGCTGAGGCAGAAGGATTGCAATTTTGAGACCAGACTCCACCATAACTTAGTGAGGCCCTAAGCAACTTGGTGAGATCTTGTCTCAAAATAAAAAGTAAAAATAAAACAGGCTGGGGATTTCGAAGGTCAGTGGTAAAGCACCCAGTTTCAATCCCAAGTATGAAAAAATAAAAGAAAAAGTAAAAAGAAACATTCTCTTTTAAGAGCATAGCTTTCAGCTATAATAGTAGGTATTAGGTACAGATATCAGAAAATAGAAATCTATGTTCGAAACTGCTCAGACAATATTGAGGATACTGTATTTTACATGTGCTTATTTCAGAGGACTGATGACAAGCTAGCAATTGTCCTAGAAAGAGGACAAGAATGAGTTAGTCTGAGAACTATGACACATAAGAAAAGGTAAAAGGCACTGTCAATAGACACAGAGGACTAAAGAATGATGTGAAATGTCACAGTTCTAAGGGTTCTTCAACCAGTGGGCCTCTAGTGTCACACAGGTCAGCATTAGAGACCTGCAGACTCCTGGATCATGACATCATGGAATTTGAGAGTTGCAAAGAACATTACATGAAATCAGCTCTACTTTTATTTTATAGATGAGAAAAGTAAGCCCAGAGATTTTAAGTGAGTGACCTGGTCACAAAGCTAGCACAACCAAGACTAGAATTTGGTCCCTAATTTTTACTTCAAGTGCCTTCCACCATAAGAGCCTTGTAGCCTTCAGGGTTGCTGTGAATAATAGCAAGGAAGTCAACACACTGCACACTGATTCAAAGGGCAATACAAGAGTCCATAGTGAAATGTGACTGAAGTGGTGGTGGATTTCTGTTTAGTCTAAGAAAAGAGCTTCCCCACATTCAAATCTGGCCAGTCCTGGAATCACCTGCCCTGGGAGGTGACAAGTAAGTGTTCAGGAAGAGGAAGGGAAGGGGTTCAGTGAGATGGGAGACTACCTACTAAGATTCCATGATTCCTACATGGAAAAGTACTACAAGGATGGAAGAAGAATGCACAATTAGAGACCAAGACAGTAATAAGTGTGCAAGTTAGAAAGGCAACCCAGGACAGTTGCATCTAGCCTCTGTTCCCTGTGACCTCATCTTCTAGGCTTAAGGGCTCTAGCTTCTCAAGTAAGTAAAGAAAAATTGTGAAGTCAGAATTGTCTCAAAATAAAAAGTAAAAATAAACCAGAAACAGGACTGTTTAAGAGAATGGAACATGGGTAATTTTGGTTGACACTCATGCGGACAGGTTCTAGGTGGGCATACTGAAGATCTCCTTGACCAGAAGAGGAATAAAATACTCCAACTGATGCTGCAGGAAGTTTAGAGGCCCTGTCACACCCCCCAAGGGCACACAGCCTTCTAGCCTGCAGGCTCACATGCTCAGCTATCACCAAATTCTATCAGATGGCCCTCTAGGACTCTGGTCTGGTATACCTAGACCTACTCAAGAATCTGCTCAGCCATACCAGTGTCCCCAAGATCCAGGGGAAACTATCCACCGTAGTAACTCCCAAGCTCTGCAGCATTTCTCTCCAGTTTCATTTTGGTATTTTATATAATGCTGTTATTCCCACCAGGGAACATCTTCCTCCCTCTGACACAATATCCTTGGCCCTCAAGCCCAGTCAACTCACTCCTGAGCCTCTTTCTTTATCCAGTGAGACTAATTCATCATGTGTACTGGAAAGTCCCTTTTAAGCCACAGCCAAAACTCTTCCTTTTTTTTTTTTTCTTGGAGTCCATATAAGCTGGAAAGAGACAGTTCACTGTTTTGCAAGTTTCAGAGGTGAAAGTCACTGTCATTAAAAAAAAAAAAAATTGGCAAAAAGTCTAGAAATGATTCACACTGAGAAGACTGACTGGTTGATTGCAAATTCATTCAAAGCTTAATAAATCATTTGCTGGGGGTGGGGGGCTGGGAGGATGGGGGAAGGAGCGAGAAACTCCAAAGAGGACAAGTAGAGTGGTATCCTTGGGGTCCATGCATTTTTGGCATCGCTGATGTTACCTGGTGGCGCTAGTCTTTGCTGAAGGGGGATGGACATGGGACTGAGTAAATAACAGTTTGGGATTCAAAGAAACCTTGCCACAATCCTATCATATAGTTCCAGGATGGTGCTCCTCGTACCGGTCCCTCCCCCATTTATAAGGCTTCCAAGGCAAACATGACAATTAGGAAAAGGGCTGACAAGAGCAATTGGGAGGAGGGAGTTTGTAGCAGGACCAATGACATGGAGATTGACTCTATTTGCTCTGTTCTGGTTGAAATGGTCCCATCATTGCCCATCCCACCCTCTCCTGTGAAGCCACTGACCTTTGCCAAGAAGGCGGCGTTCCTGATAGCGCCCACCATTTCTCCCCCCTTGGGGTGCACCTTGGCCACGTGCATCCACATGCGCTCCCAGGTGTGGCTGTCGATCGGGAAGCCGCTCTTGTTAACGTGAAACATCACCCCACCGTCTTTGTCCTCCTCCTCCGAACCCCCGCTGGTGGCGAGGCTCACGGGCCGTGCGTGGCTGCTCCGGGACCGGGTGCCTTTGGAGCCTTTGGGGTGGGGGCAGCGGAGAGTGTCGGCCGCGGAGCCGGTCATGGTGGGGAGAGGGCGCGGGGGGCGAGGTGTGGAGGGTGCTCGGCAGCAGCAGCAGCAGCGGGGGGCGTGTGCGCGCGGGCGCGGCGCGGGGATCAGCGCCCCGCGGGGGTGGCCTTTTCCATGCCTCTCTCTGCGGCAGGACGCGCCAAGGGGTAGCGGCGGCGAGAGCTCCGCGGAGGCGGCCGGGCTCCCGGCTTACGGGCCGTGCCTGAAATCAGTGGAGACAGCAGACACCACGGCTAAGTGGACATCCAGAGGAACCGAGTGGGAGCCCTGGAGTGTCTCCACGTCACCTCCCACTGCCCCTTGCACGCTGACAAGACCCCCCTTCCCCCAAGGAATTGAATACGAGCTTTCAGCCTTCCAAATACACAGAAAGGCAGCTTGAATTTGCCACAAAGCTTCACACACACCTAAACACCAGGGTGTGGGGGAAACGAGGAGCATGGGGGATGCGGAGTGGACCGTGTAGGCAGAAGAAAGACAGCCCGTGGAGCGTGAAGACACAGGAGGTCCCCGCAAGGCTCCACTCCTTCCTGGGTCCCCAGTAGTGGACGACAGACGAGCCGAGCCCAGAACGTGCCGACACGTGAGCGCCCAGGGCTAACGCGAGGGCGCTGCAGCAGCCTCCGCTTGCAAAGGCAGCCCCGCTTCTTCCAGGAAACCCTCCCGGACCCCGGCAGGAGAAGGGGCGCCCCTAGCCCTATGTTCCAATGGAAGGAGCTGCATCCGCCTCCCGCACCCCAAATTCCAGCGCCAGGGACCTGGAGCGACTGACCGCAGGCGGGGCTCGGAAAGGGCGCGCGGCGCTCCGGGACCTACCTCGGGACGGTGGGCTTCATTGCTGCAGAGCCTCTCCGGGCGGCGGGGGCTGCTGCTTCGGCGCCTGCTGCCGAGCCTGGGACTGGGGCTGCTTGGGCTGCTGCGGTCGTCGCCTCATTCCATGTCCCATTCTCGAATGTTATTCTGTGACATATAACCGAGTCACCCGGGCAGCCGCCGATGTTCCGAATGCGTCCATTGGCCACCGCAACAAAGAGGGGCGGGTCCCGGGCTCGGGACTCTACAACCCGGAGCTCGGCGACGCTCTGATTGGCTCCAGCGCTTCTCAGGCGGGAGGAAAGCGAAGTAAGGGAAGCTGGGCTGCCACGCGAAATCCGATCTCTCTAGTGTCCAGGAGCCCCGCGGGGCTGGAGCATTTGTCCATGGAACTTAAGATTTAGTTTCGGGTAAGGTGAGGGTTTGCAACTGTGGGAAGCATAGGAGAAGCAAAACCTCCCCAAGTAGAGAAGCCACCCTGAGATAGAGAAAGGGGTTGTAGGAACAGCATTCCCTGAAAAAGGCTGGACAGTCATACTGATGATGAGTGATTCCGGAAGGAGCTCTTTATATGTAGGCACAAAATTCAATAGTTTTTTTTAAAGCGCTACAAATTTCTCCCGAATTAACAAATGGGCGCAGCTTTGGGTTTTCTGTTATTAGTGATAATAAAGTCCCTGTAAAACGCAAGTTGATATGGGACTTTGAAGCCCAGGATGTCAGCCAGGCCCCCACTGTTCTGCCACAGCTACTTGGTTAGAGAAGGGTTTGGAGAGATCCTTCAAAACCAGGGTGAAGTGGGAGGCCCTCCCACACTCCCGGCTGAAACACTTTTTCCTTAAAGGTGATTCTCATTCTCTCATTCATTCTCTTTCTCCGCTCTTTCCCTCTCTCCCAGTCAGAAAGAAAGGAGTAAGATGAGGTGGGAATAGGACCAGATTTACTGATCTATGGGATGGCTTTTTAAGCTGGTCCAGGTTTGTCTTTTTAAGCTGAGTGACCCTAGACAAGTCACTTTCCTGCTCTTTCTGAAAAGAAGAGAGTAGATTTCTCACCCTCCCAGAGTTCTGGCTCTCAGGTTCTTTGGTTCCAGAACTTGCTCTTTGTGGACTTAGGAACCCGGCTGTAATTCCTTTCTCTTTGAACTCCAGGCCAGGATGCCAGCTTTGAGAGTGAAGCAGTACTGGCAATGGGATTGTGAAGGAACACTGACAGAGGATCCATTTTAAGGATGCTCAACCCTATGAGTGACCTGGTGGGTGGGGACTGGGTCTTTGATGGTGAGATATGGGTGTCAGCAGAGGCTTCTGGGGAGTGGCTGAGAGCCAGGACTGGGGTGAAGAGACCTGAATTCTGGACCTAACCCTGACCTAGCCCTGAGACAAAGACTGTGCTCTAGGACTTTCCAGACTCAATAATGACAGTGATGACTTAGGCCCATACAGACAAAGGAAATGGGTCAGTTTATGAAATATAATTCAAGTGGAACAAGCACACCTGGAAAAAAAACCAGGAAATTGAAATAAAATCATCCTCTCACCTTATAATTGCCTCAGTTTTCGTTGCACTGTTAAAGGAAAACATGCCTCAGAGAGTACTCAATTTTCTCTTTGAACATCCTTCCTTCTTTATGCATTCATTTCTCAAACCATACCCCTCTCCAGAAGACTAGAATTTCAGGATGAGGTCCTATATTCAGAGCCTAACCAGATCAGTCAGTGAACATCAAACAGCACAGGTTGCCTTCCTGGGAAACACTTTCTCCAAGCAGGAGCTAATGACCACAACTACTAAGCCAGGGCCTGTATCCTGCCAAAGGGGAGTGTTTGTTCATCTTTCTGCCTCAAAGCACCTTGGATTTTCTGACAGCTGACAGGGAGAGCATTTATTGTTAGCCTCTAATATTCAGGTCATGTGTTTTCTTCTTTCCCATGGGTGGGATGGGTGGAGAGCCAAGGGCCTAAACATATGAAGTTGTGAGATTTGAGATTTTTACTTTTCCAACATGGTGGCATGGAGGTGGATTGTGCTGTCCCAGGAAAGGCACTGTGAGTCAGGACTCCTGTTCAGAGTTCCTTGGCACTTGAGAGTTGCACTAGATTACATCCAATTTTTTTTTCATTTCTTTGGGTATTTGATCAACAGGACACTCAAGTGAACTCAGGCCATATTGATTTAGGGGTTTTGAAAATTCCAATGGTTAGCTTGGCACAACTATGTATATACACGGTGGGATGAGACCAATTTGTGACACCTGTAACTAGATGCTCAATCTCTAAGAGCACAGTCACTTCCATTCATTGGCACAGTGACTGGTAGAGCAGAGAAGCGCAGTGGAAAGGTTTGGAATGAGAAGAGCTGCTGATACTGTCTCAGTATCAGTTTCTGGAATCACAAAGATAAGACAAAATCCTATCCAGATGGATTGTATTTCTAGCCCTACCACTTGTGAATGGTGTGATTTTGGATAAGTTACTTAATGTCTTAGCTTTATTTTCCTCAAAAGTAGGTATCATACTACTCTAGAGGGGAATTTTGAGGATTCAGAGAGGCAAGGTATGTGAAAACACATGCAAAGCAGCTCAGAGATATTGGTTGGGCCTTCATCTGAATCCAAGACTGTTGCAGAAACAGATTTGGAGACATCTGTTCCCAGCATGTTTCATTGTCTGAGAGTCAAGAAGAGAAGTCATATCCCTTGCCAGGGAAAGGGACATACATTGAAAAGAAGCCATGGCTGTATGAAGAGGGGAAGGAAAAAGCTAGGGGGGAGCAGGAGGAACTTTGGCACACAGGAACTAGCAGCTTCTTTCTGCCTCCATTGGCAACAAAGAGGAAGACCCACCCAGTTACGGGTGGAATTGTGTCGCCCTCCCCACAAAATTCTTACATTGGAGTTCTAACCTCTAGCAACTCAGAATGAGACCTTATTTGGAAATATTGTCACTGCAGATGTAATTCGTTAAGATGAGGTCATACTGGAGAGGTTGAGCTTCTAGTGCAATATAATTGATGTCTTTATAAAAAGGGAAATTTTGGACTCAGAGACAGACATGTGCATAGAAGAATACCATGTGAGTATGGGGGTCCTGCTGCCACAGCCAAAGAACTCCCCAAAGCCAGGAGAAAGGCCAGGAGCAGATGCTTCCCTAAGTGCCTTCTGAGAGAGCATGGCCCTGCTGACGCCTTGATCTCAGATTTTTCAGCTCCAGAAGTATGAGACCGCCAATTTCTGTTTATACCACTCTGTTTGTGGCACTTTGTTCTGGCAACTTTAGCAAACAAATATGCACCCCAAATAGAGCTTATGTCCATGGATTCAACCCAAGTGTTCAGGGTCTATGATCAGTCTGATGAGGGAAGTTATCACTCTGCTGAAGTAGTGACTTTTCACTAAATATCAACAGTAATATTCTGTAAGCTACGAGATTTAACAACTCTGGTCTTATTTTAGGACAACAGAAGAAAACACCAAATAAAAGGACTATACCTCTTTCTGGGGTCAGGGGATTTCTTTGAAAATAGAATAGGTTCTTCAACTCTCACTTCCCTCAAAGAATATTTCTGTATGTTCCATGACAGTCTCTGAACCACATGAATTGTCATTTATTTATACACTGTTTTGTATCATTCCCTGATGATTTTGGATATAGGTCTTGCCATAGAAATTACAAAACAAGAAGTAACATGTATCCAGTACTTAATTTATGCAAAGCACAATTTAAGCACTTCATTTGTATTATGTTACTTAATGCCTACAAGAAATCAGTGATAATAAGTCTTAAATTAAAGGAAGTTTGAGTGATTTGCCCAAGGTCCAACCAGCAGAAGGAAGTGCTATGGTTTGGAACTCAAGTGTCCCGCAAAGGCCCATGTGTTAAAGGCATAATGCCTGGTTTGGTGCTACTGGGAGGTGGTGGAACCTTCTAGAAAGTAGAGCCTCATGGGAGGTTTTAGGTCATTGGGAGAATGCTCTCAAGGGGATTATAGGACCCCAGTATTCTTTTTCTCTCTTTTGCTCCCCAGCCATGAGGGAGGTAAGTGATTTTTGCTTTCCTTGATTTGCTGTCGCCCCACCAGAGACCTAAAAGCAAAGTGTTTGCCCAATTAGAGACTGTAAGACAAAACTGTAAGACAAAATAAACCTTTTCTCTTTATAAGTTGATTACCTCAGGTACTTGTTATAGTTGATGAAAAGCTAACACAAAAATAATTTGTCTATTTGAGCCTCTGTTGTGAATGGAAAAACACATCGTAATAAGAAAGGATACTCCAAGAATTTGTAACCACATA